CTCTCGACACGGCTTGCATCACGCAAAACTGCTTATATGTCCCAGGAAAATTGCACTAGGTTTTCGGACTGTTTACGAGATAGAATGCCTAGCATGCCATGCAACGGATTTTAGAGGAACTGGTCGGCCGCTTTTGAAGCCCGGAAGCAGCCAGTTTCTGAGCATAAAGTAATAGACCACGCTGGTTACTGAATTCGATATTAGGTGTACTATTCTAGCCCATGGAAACAAATTCGCTGCATGTAAAGCCGTGAGAGCATTGTTGATCCTGTCGCGCGAGCCTAAGATGAATGGCAAAAACAAAGAACTCTCAACAACCAGCGTTTGATGCCGTTTATCCCTTACTGTGGTTTAAGATACCCATCACTATTCAAGCTGCTTCGCAACGAACAGCTCATTTTCCGTCGTCAGTGGATGTCCTCATGATGCTGTGCTACTTCGGTGAGATTGGCAAGTTACATATGGCGTCTTACTCGTCCATTTTGTACAATTCGAACGAAGCAAGAGGGAAGGAAAGCATTGACAATGCAGATCCAAAATACGAGTGCGACTTTCTTCCAAGCCTATGAGGAAGGCATTAATGCTGAACGTCAGGCTTAATAGATATAATAATGATTGGTTCATAATTATACGAACACCCCCATTTCGTTTTCCAGGTTTTTTGAAAGAAATGCTAGAAACCTTTGGTACCATCTGAAAGAGCGTACACAATCTGATAATCTGTGAGAAAACCAGAACGATTCATAGCTTGAAAGATCGTATAGCAGACTTTCTACCAGTTTCTTTACGTTTGGGCGGTTCATTATTATACGAACACCTCGGGTGATGTTCGTTTCCTGCCTACTCGCGCAAAAAGCCTCACGGATTATGAAAAAGGACCGATCGAGGCCCCTTCTCGCGCTGGGATGCGATTGAGAGAAATTGGCAGAGAGCTGAGTCCCATGGCTTGCGTGGTCAAGCATTATCTGAGCTGCCTCCAGCAAAATGGTACCAAGAATCGAAGCTGTCGGAAAAGAATGCTCAGCAAGCGCGATGAGCGCCGGATTTACAAGCACGCTTCCAACTCTACCAGGAGCATTAACAACATCAAAAGGGAACTGCATCTAGAAGCATTCAAGACCACCGTTTTTCGATGTCTGTAGCGCAATGAGAACCTAGTGCATGCAAAAATGAGTCTAGCTCTCGTCTTCGTCCTCGTCACAGAGATGCTAGACTACAATTTGCACGTGAAAATATGGCGCTTGATTGGAAAAAGGTAAAACCCATAAAATTTCTGCTTTGGAGTTTGATTCTCTATGTCCCTCTTAGATGATTTTTTCTGACGAGAAGAAGTTCAACGTACAATACCACCCGTAATTTGTGAAAAAAAATGGCGGCGGCCCGCGTAAGTTAAGTGCCGCCGCCATTTTTTTTCGCAAATTACGGGTGGTATTGTAGACGGTCTTGATGTATTCAGTGGCTACTGGAGGGACTTGCGCAAAGAGCCGCTCCTCTTCTTAAGACGTAATTTGGACTTAAAAAGGTCGAAAAAAGCGATTATAACAACGATTTTTGTAAAATTTACAAAAATTCAGGAGGTTTGCTGAGCAACACATCATTTTTCTTGAATGGCCGGCATGCTCTCCAGACCTAAAAATCATAGAAAACCTGGAAGAGTAATAGTTAGACGACTTTATCACAATAATTGCCAATTTTGGAGCGCTGATGAGTTGAAAGCAGCAATTTTGGAACACGGCGGCAAATTTCTTTTGAAGATATTCAGAAAGTGGTAGATAGTATGCCAAACAGGATCTTTCAAGTTATAAATTGTTCTGCTTGTCTCACAGATTATTAGATTGTTTCCTGTTGTTGATATTGTTTTTACAATTCATTGAAGATAAAGAGGGTTGCCCGAGGAGTTCGTATAATTATGAACCGCCCCAATTACGTGTCCGGCGCAGGATGCTTTGCTGCGATAAACACGTATCCTCTTTTGTGTTGGGTATACTGTTTTCGGCTAAGCTCTTTCACATGGTACCAAAGGTTTCTTGCATTTCTTTGAAGATGTCTTTAAAAAAACAGCAAAATATGGGATGTTCGTATAATTATAAATCGTCTTTATGAAAAAAATGTTTGGCTCAAAAACAGTGAAGAACATACCACGAGATTTCATGAACAGAAAACCCATGAAATACTTCAACATTTCCTAAGAGCTCTAATATATGAGTGAAGGGAAAAAAAGTCAATGATAAGTAATTTCATCGGTCACATGTTGGCATGATGGAATTTATCTTTTTGTAGCAGGCTTGCACAGGTTGCTCATTCACTCATCAAAATCGGATAAGTTACTTCATGAAATCTCATTTATCAGCTACATTCAGCCTTAGCATATGGTGGTAAGACTCCCGTCTCTTTTTGTATTTGTCAGTGTATAATCTGTCTGTCATTACGGAGCGTTTGCAGGCATGCCTCGGGGAACTTCCAGACCACGCCGGTTGAATGCGTCTAACTGTGCCAGGGCAGCGTTGTGCAGTCACACACCTAAGCGCGAGCGCTGCTGTACTGTATGCTGCAGCTGCAGGGACTTTGCCGCGCAGAGGGGTGTGGTCCTTGTTTTAGCCACTCTTCGTGCCCCCCTTCATACACTAACTCTCTATCCAGTTTCCAACTTTCCGATTGTTCTGTTTAAAACTTTACTTCAATGCCTTCTGAGATCGCTCAAAGTATTACCGCGCGACGGAAGGCAAATGGGGTTGTCTTTCAAAATGAATGTATTCTAGATGAACTGTGAGAACGACTTGGACTCTTCCTTCTTACAGAAGCTACATGTGAACAGGAATGTGTATCGTATGTTAACCGCGTTGGCGCTTTTCATTTGAACCCAAACTATGATGATGACCGTTGAGACAGAAGTCGATACAATAGTTAAAGGCACCGTCCACCCAAATTCTCGACTTCCATGTTGTTGTCGATTCCAGGCCTTCTGAAGGCCCTGTTTCGAATATGGAGTCAAAAATTCGCGAAACGCCGAAAAATCCCTGCTACTTCCGGAGCAGATTTCTCGCTCTGGAAGCAGTCTTTTGCGCCGCAGCTTGGAGGTTTGCCTAGTGTGGGGGCCCACACTAGTATGTCATCATAATCTCGCCAACCTCCATTTTCGGTGAACAGTGCCTTTAATGACATCTGAACAAATCAACCATCCGAAGAAGGCCTGGTTAAAATGGAAAATGTCATCATGAGGGAAAATGCTCAAAGCTTTGATACCTTTTTTCTTTGCTATAAAGGAATTCGTGTCCGGAATTGAGGAGGTTATGCGCATAAAAACAAGAAATGACAATGCGCTGCTATTAACGGAGACGAGATACGATGGTAAAACAAGGCGCGCTATATTGTGCGCAGCACGCTGTGCATATGGCAGCGCTTGCGCATAGATGTGTGACTGCACTACGTGGCCCTAGCCCCCACCCCCTTAGACTTATTGTAGCTTTTGCAACCATTAGCCGCTTCTGCGCTGGTTGCCGCTTTTGCAGCCAAGCCTGATGCAAATTGAATCCTTAACGCATTGCATTTGAGAGCTGACGATACCTACATCTAGCCGAAATATCCAAAATACATTTCTCGACTGATTTTCGTTATTTGATTGCACTCAAATTTTCAAGTTTCTTGTGAGTGATTCGGCATGAAAATCCAGATGCGATAATCAGAAGCATCTCTGCAAAATTATGATGATGCACGGTTGTGAAAATGGACAAAAACCGCATCGCTAATAACAAAATGAAACTTTTACCCAACCCAAATGTTGAGAAAGAGGAAATTTGATTAAGTAGGAAATGGTCAGAGAGAACTCAACCTAGATATTTCAAATAAGCTGTTTATCTTCGGACTCGCCTTGAAACGTTAATTTCAAATATACGTTTATTATCTGTCAGGCGACTTTCTGGACGGATATGAGCATTTAAATACGAGAAACTATTCAAGTTCTAACGAATATAGCTTTTTGAAAGGCAGATTAATAGCGCGAATTTACTCTGGCTATGGGTATTCGTATTTTAGGAAGAAGCGCATTCACCAAAAGCCTTAAGAAGTGTTACTTGAAAAGTTGCACATTTAAACGCTCGTAACTCCTTTCAGATAGTCGCTTGGCAGATAAAACATAAATTGAAATTAGCGTTTCAAAAGCGAGTCCGATAGTATATAGCTTGCGCGCTACAGATTGCAAGTCCACATGGTTATACATTGATGTGGACTTTCACAAATGCTCTTTATCATCGCCTCTAGCTTTCCCAAACCAGATCACCTACACAAAAACTATTTGAGCAATTTAATCAAACAAGAAACAGAAAAAGTTTACTTTATAATCTACATATAGATATTCGATACTCCGCGCACCTGCCATTAACCAGTTTTGTAGGCGTAATGTTCTTTTTTGTCGTACCTAAAAGGCACTCCACAACAGAAAAAACATGGCAGAGTTACACAAAATTAGCGAGAAACTAAGGGCCGCTTGCATCAACGCCCCGCCGGAGAGTGGGATCGCAGCTTAAAAGAAAGCTTCATACCTTGAAGTTCCAGATATTTGGTTTTCACGCTGTCTACCTATCCGTAGGTAGTCCCACCATCCTTTACTATAATCTTATTAGACAGGAGCGAGAAGGCGTACAAACCGCATATTCCAGCTTTTTGTGTGATCCCCTGATGATCCCCGGCGACCGACAGTCTTTTCTTCAAAGTCAATTTTCATTCTTCGAAGTCAAAAAAACCTTTCAAAGTTGTATTCATTGCCAAAAACAGCAGTACTGGGCATGTCGCTGATGAGAAAAAAGTTTTTGGAAAATTGATTTTTTCGTTGAGATGACACGTGTTCGTAGCTTAGAATGCAAACTAAAAGTTTTGATATACTAAAGGTTACCTACGACCTGTAAATTTAACTCTTTATCACCTTTTATGTGGAAGAAATTCTATCGGCATCATGTATCCTAACCAGAATTTTATGTTTGACGACAACTAGCATCTTTCATACATCAATGGTTAGGAAACAGAAGCTTTTTGATTATATCTTCATTTAGGTCCTCCTCAGATCCATTCGTTGTCCATGAATAGAAAGCACTGAATTCCACTTCGATTTGGGCGATCAACTGAAAAATGAACTTAGAGGATCTAAGACTCTAAAAAAACCAAAAAAACCGACAAACTGATAAAACTGACAAATCGGAAGAACCATTCTTTGATTAACATTGAACTAGTTGACTTAACCAAACGCCTCTAGTTGAAAAAAACCCTACACTCGGAAAGTTACCACTCAAGCATTCTTCAGCTGTTGAGGAGCATCACGAGCACTGGAATCGCCGCAGTATTTTCGTGTCAGAGTGATTAAAGTTGTGCGGAACAACGGAACAACCATTATTCTACCAAATGGCAGGCCTACGGATGCATGATCGTCATGCGTTTCGTTCCTTTCTAAATTTGAGGTTTAAAAAAGCAGACTTCGTCACCGGCTAATAAATGAGCTAGAGCAAATTGAGAAAAATCGCAGATTTTCGACTCTCATGTTTTTGTCATGCTTTCAATGGCCCTAATTCCAAATCTGAAGTGCAAATTGCGTGAAAACCTCGAAACTCCCGCTATAGAGAAATACTCGCCTTTGTTGACCCTGCTTGGATCAACAAGGACGAGTATTTCAACCATTTCGGCACTAATCCAATGGATTGCCGCTTGACATGTATCACATATAGATAAATGGCTTCCACTTGCCCGTGAAAGTGCTGTAAGCTTGTTACATATGTTTACCATGATATGTAGGAAGTGAGAGTTCAAGTTCCTTAACTGACGATAAGGACAAAGAATGTATGTACTTACGCCTACATATACAGAGTGTCTCAAAAGTAAGTACACACTTTTCAATCGTCAATATCTCTCTTCTCAATGGGTCCTTTTTGGCCAGTCAAGTACCAATTTGTAGAGAAGGCTTCAACTTAGATTTACAGTATCGATCGAACCACCGATCTCTCTTCATTACTGTAGGATTACTGTAAGAACTTCCAGCATGTGTAACCATCGTGAAATATGCCTTCTGATAAAATTTTCTTCAGAAAGCCTGAAAAATCGTATACCAAGGTTTTCGCGCACGCTGATCCCACTACACAACTTTTTACGAGTGTTTTCAGCTTTTTTGACGGTGTAAGTACATTTCAGACAAATATTGGGAATTCGGCTATTACGGTTTACCTGGGATAACTTTGGAAAGAAGCATCACAGTTAAGTTGAAATTTCATTTTCGAAATTAGAGGGTTCCATTACATAGCATAAAGGTTTTTGGCTTGTCTAGTTTTGTTTCGAGGCAGAATATGGTTTACAATGGCCTAAAATCCTTGCCGAAGTTCCTACAGTGATCCTACAGTAATGAAGAGCGATCGGTGATTCGCTCGGTACTGAAAATCTAAGTTGAAGTCTCCTCTACAGAATAATGCTTGACTGGAAGAAAAAGACCCATTGAGAAGAGAGATGTTGACGATTGAAAAGTGTGTACTTACTTTTGGGACACCCTGTAGATGCAAGGAACGACATGTCAAGTACCAATATAAGAAATTAACAATTTGGTTCATTTTTCAGCATTGGTTTTTGTGCGGCTGCACAACAAAGCTTATCCTCGCGAATGTGAGGGGAGCAGAAACAGGGGCATGAGAGAGCCGCATATTCCGAGACTTGATGACTATTTTGACCGGACGCGCCTGGCTTTGAAGGCAGCATCAAAACAGATTGAGGTACGGGTATATGTCAATAACAACGATAGCTGGCAATAGTGACACCCTGAGTGCCCGGGTGTCAATAAACGGTGCACAGATAGCACCGCCCCAGCAGCGGACGAGCTCGCGCAGGCCCTACATTTTGGAGCAGTAACCCAAAGTTTAATTCTTCTTTAAACATGCTTTATGTTAAGGCTTTTGCTTTTTTCTAAAATGAAAATAATCAGCAATCACATCGCCATAAACACGCAATAGAAATGTCTTGGGCTCAATTTAGCATGTGAAACATGTAAGCATCTTTGATCGTTGTAGAAAACGATGAATGAAAAGAACTGAAGTTCAAATTATTTTTTTAGTTCGACTTCGAACAGAGGGAACAGTAGGAGACTTCGAACAGAGGACTTCGGAGGTATCAAAAGTGGCCACACACCTTTTTGTCTTTCGTGTAGTCAGGATTCGGTGTATACGCAGGAGGAGGCGACGAGTGAACATCGCGTTTCGTAACGCTTTGCTCTGACGTTGTTGATGACGACGTATTTGGAGCTAAATTAAGATCCTATTAGAGAATATTGAGAAACACATCCACCACTGACCATTACTTGGTGAGGTAAAGACAACATCACTGGTGTCTCAAAAATCTTTAACCTTAGTATTTCTTCAGCTGAAATTGTACAAAGCAACATAAACATACAATATTAAGCGGGTAGTTTGTGAAAAACCTGCTTTACAACAAGGAACACTCTTCGGAGACATTCTTGTTTGGCTTTCAGACAAGCTTTTAAACGCTTGCGGAACGCATGCATTGTGGCAAACAAATAGTTGATGTCGAAACCGTCTCACATCTTCTGAAGCAAGCTTTCCAGGCTGTTCAAAATCTAGTGCGAAATAGAGCAACCCTTGTTTTTACGATTAATCGCGAAGAAAAATCAAAGGCTTCTTACACGGCGATTGAAAGCACGCCAATTTGAAAAGCATAGCTGCGATTGGCAAAAGTGCTGAAATATACCTACCAAGTTTTTGAGAAAATCAGAAAGGCACCAATTTGGTGTACTCGGATTTGAAATCAATAATCTGGTAAAATATGCAAGGCTTACAGCTAGAATTACTGCCTCGGACTAATCTGGTGTGAGAGTTCCCAGCTTCTTCAGATTTTTGCTTTCGAGATTTTTTTCGTTTCAGTGGTTCGGCGCAACTTTGATATTTGTATCTTATCCTACAGTAATGACAGAGACTGACGATTGGGTTGCGGTGGGTGTGTGGAGTGGAACTAGCTCTACAATTTGCGACTTGTGGTTTTGCAAGAGCTGCAAGACAAGAGAGTTACAGGTGCTTAAACGTACAATGTAAAAGCATACTCCTCTTTCAAATAATTCAAGCTGTTTTTGTTTTTTAGGGACCCTCAACATGCTCATTATACAGTAGGCACATAGAATTACTCAAATATGGCTTTACCGGATTTTTTCAAAAAGGACAGTACAAAAGTGGCAAACTGCGCCCCAGCCCCTCCCACATATGTCGTTGTATATCACAAGCTTTACTAAGAAGGGAAGCTACCTAACTCAGCTGCCTTTTGGCAAGGGACACATACAGTCTGAATCAGCTTCAAAAGCTGATTCCAAATATGCTATTTCTAGCTGCCACGCGCCATTCCGAAGCGAGTTATGGTTTTCCTGCGCAAAATTGACATGCTCATCGACTCAAGGGCATCACGTCACCATTGTTTGAAGGCTGATACACCTGCGTTAAGCTTTTTAGTGGGAAAAGATTGGATTTGTACTATTTCGATACCTCAATACCTTTTTCTTGCAGATTTTTTATCTACAGGCAGCCTTCTCATGTTCAGTAGTATGCCAATTTTGCGCAGGAAAAAGCCCATAACTCGCTTCGGAATGGTGCATGGCAGCTAGGAATAGCACATTTGGAATCAGCGTTTGATGCTGATTTAGGATATATATATATATATATATATATATATATATATATATATATATATATATATATATATATATATATATATATATATATATATATATATATATATATATATATATATATATATATGCCAGTGGCGTACCAAGGGGGAACTCCCAGGTTGTCCCAGCCTATCGACGGCATATTACTGACAGCTTAATTTACTTGAAAATGGACTCTACTTCTGGGACAACCTAGTAGAAAGCAAACGGTATGATTTTTCGGTGAATTATCAGCAATCACACAAAGAACTCATATGCAAACTTTTGCTAAAATGGGGGGAGTATAACAGAGTTACTACATTAGAAAATTAGGCCCAAAGGCAGCACTGGCAAGGCAACTCGCCAGAACCGAACATCCCGAAATTTTGACATGGAGGGTTGCTTGTACCCCAAATATGAGAACAGAGCAGGTCCGAGCGCACAGGATGCTGCCCTTGTCTGGAAAACTGCCAATAACCGCTACGCGCAAGCCATTCTAATACGCGCGGATAAGCTTGCGATTCCCCCCGACCCGTCACAGAAGGCATGCCGCAATGTTCTGCCTTTCTAACTATGGCGGAACTTGCTCCACTCGCCCAAATTAAAATGGAAGGAATTGGGAAATGGTGTTTTTTGCCATTTCCGCACTCTTCAAGGTGGATCTTCGGAATCAGCACCTCGAATTGCTCCAGGTAAGCAAAAAACTTCAAGTCGAGAATTTGCCGAGCCGCTGCCTTTAAGGATTTTGGGGACACCTTGTAGTTAGTTATATGTAAGAGATAATACTTGATGTACCTGAAGGAGATTTCTTTCCAACTGTTCGCACTGATTGTTTGGACGTTATGCGCTCTCTTGACGTTGGTTGCGAACCTTGTGATCATGTAAAGATAAGAATGAAGAAGAATAAAATAGTAAATTTGGTACTCTGTCCTATAGACTGATCATTACTTATTTTGGAAATAGCTATCCCCTTTCCCTAACCCTTTCCCCGGTGTTTCTCTCGAGTCATGGTTCTCGCTGCTTACTTCAGGAACGGAATTCGATATTTGCAAGAACGAAGATACCCGAAATGTCTCAAAATGGCTCCAATCCAGATTCGAAAGTATGCGTGTGCAGAGTTTCAGCTCCGTCGCTCCACGCACAACGCTGTTTATAAGTAACATACTTCTTGCACATACACGCACATGTCTGTTTTGTAAATCTGAAGGCTGCCTATGATTATCTAGAGATTGAACGGAAATTAGTGTCCATTATTTAATCCTCCTCCCCCTCCTCCCCACGTCCTCCCAGGGCCCGGCGGGGGTGGCGCTTTCACAAGCTGGATATCGTTTTTAGCCCGAAAAAGCAAAGGGGAAGTCGTATTTTGGGGTCCGAGGCGAACCCGGACCCCAAAATACGACTTCCCCTTTGTTTACCGATAAACAATGCACATATCATTCTTTATTCATCATTCCTTGTTGATGCTACTGTCCTATGAACTTAGATTCCAGCAATGTGAAGATTCTGTGATCCGATCGCTAGCCTGCCCGCAGGCGGGAATTTAAATCGCAGTTCTTGTGAGAGGAAAATAATAAAATAGGCTCGTTTTCAATGCACAAGTAACGATATGGCACCAAATTTGCTGTATAGTTGGAGGACCATGAGCACAAAAAAAGTATGAAAAATTATGAGAAACTTATGTGAATTTAAAAAATGGTAAGTGTTTTTCGAAGTTAGGTGGCTCCCGCGCCACCTGGGAGCAACCTGGGGTGGCTCTCTGCTTCCCTTCACATGATTTCCCGAATTTCTTTACATAAATGTGGACTAGGTCGAGAGTATTACTATATGTTCAAATCCGCTTCCAAAACCACCAAGGCACCGCTTCGATACAGCCCCAAATAGGGTTCACAGCGTTATGATCGGCCTCGGAAAGCGCGCTCCAATCGCAATCGGTTATTGTAAATTGGAAAGATTCGCAGCTGACTAATAAATGAGTAGTATCTTAGATATATAAACGCCAAAGTTTGTGCAAATTTTGAGCCTATGTTTTTATATAGATTCCTTTGCGGATGAACCCATTGAGCTGAAACCTTGAAAACATATGTTTTCGGCCTCGGTAGATGGTTTTAAGCTACCCTTCGAAGCAATACGTGGAATTCTTCTATCGATTTAATGATTTTTGGCACCTTGCAAGGAAAGTGAACACTAATCAGCCGCTAACAAAGTGCTTGCACATTTTGGTGTGAACAGTGCAGTGAAGTTCATTTCCACTTTAAAATTAGAAGGTGCAGTCACTCCAATAAGCCTTTCTGGGGTAAGCTCGTGCAGGAGGGTAAGGGGGAGGACTGCAGTGCAGTATTGATACTGCAGAAAAGGGGTGGAGAATATGGCCCAAAAGGACGGGAAGGTAGAAGGACAAAGTGTGGTTTTTGACCATTTCCTCAAACGATAACCCGGGCTGGACCAGGAAAGCCAGGTAGTACTACTATAATAAGCGCTGAGGCCGCCCATCTTATTATTTGCGTATATCTGTTTGTCAGGGACTTACGGGGGTCAAAAATAGGGTTAAAGGGGAAGTCGTAAGAAATTTTGGCTTCAAAGGGGATATCGTTTTCAAAATTCTGAAATGCCACCTCCTGCCGGGCCCTGCGCCCTCCCCCTACAAGGTTTACATACAGGGTATTCTGAAAACACAAGCTGATAATTTGTGAAAGGCTGTGCATTTTCAGATGTACAGGATCTCTTTGCCTATGATAGGTGCACGGTAGGCAGTTAGTTTCCACAAATTATTGTGGAATTTTGCTCACGATAGGTTATTCGGTGTGCTAATTGCATCACGTACAATCATTAGCTACTGCCGAAAACTAATTTCTAACTGTGCATCTACCGTACCCATAGTCATGTTGTAATTGACAATTCTTTTTTATAATAATTATAGCGGCGAAGCCCATACGGTTTTTTTCGAGAGAATGTTCCGGAAGCACGAATCGGAAGCACGGATCCATCTGTGTTTCAACTCAACCTCGTCTCTAAGGCTGCATTCATACTGATTTCGAAATCCGAGAATAGTCCCAGCACAGGGCTCAGTTCGAGCGCTGTGTTGGAACTGTTCCCGGATTTCGAAATCAGTATGAACGCAGCATAAAGGCAGCGTGCTGCCGTATTCATTAAATAATTTGCATCGGGTTTCAGGCTTTGGCGCGGAGATTCAACGCCAAGGGCCGTGGATCCTTGAATACAGCAAGCCGATACAAGTCGTCCGTCAACGGTAGTGTGTGGATGGAGATGAACTTCTTAGCCGAGACTGCACTCTGCGCTGCTACTAAGGTATATATAGGGTATTTGCAAAATCGTGACGATGGTGCGACCGCGCGCGACATGCACGCCACTTCCAGAAATCGTATTTTCTTGGTTTTCACCTCTAGTCAAGTGGTTTTTTGCTTACTAATGATAGTATTTAGACACTGAAGTGACTGAGCTGAATGTTGAAGTGATGTCTTCTTGTATGAGCGTTTTATGCTCCTCTGGGCGCAAAGTCTGCAGTAAATCCGTCGTAATCGTACGATTTTACAAATGAACTATAATTTGAGTTAAATCCGCCAAAATCAGTTCCTAAGCAGGATCCCCAGATTGCCTGGACGCTGTTCTCAACAATACTATAATGTTGAGACTTGGCTGCCAAATAGGACTTTCCTTCGAAACTTAGGAAATATCCAGCATTTATATACAACTTTCCTATATATCGATCATGATTTTGAGTAGCAATGGAGTAAAGCATCGCGCAGTTTATCTCACGTTTGAATCAAATTCATACAAAGGTTGTGTTAAAAGAGCTTACTTGATTTCCTCGAAAGCAAATTTCGCGGCTGAATTGCTGGAGTTCTGATACTTCTTGTCGAACAGCTAGTTCTGGGGATCACGCTAGTTTCCTTCGCAGTTTTGCCTTCTACCGCACTACGGGATGCAATAGTGTCAGCTTGTTTAGCAGTTTTGGCTTTTACTGCATTACGGGGTACAAACGAAGGTTTAGTTGAGTTGTCGGTGGTCTGTAAAATTTCGCAGCATCCATTTCGTAACACAAGCATTGAACTTACTGTGGAAGCAGTTTCTGCGTACGCGTCGCTGAAGCGGTAATGTGATTCCACTGCTTCGGGAGTTGTTATCGTAGGTGCACTAGTGATCGTAGATGGACGGCTCTGCTAGGAGAAAAAAACATCACGTTAAGCTTGAATACACAGGCAATTACGTGCGCAGGTAAAGATCCTTGATCTGAAGACTTTCGACTTACGTCTTCCTTGTAGTCCATCCATGGCTCGTATATCTTCTGGCCTTGTTTAGACTTCTAAACAGAAACGTGACACATGTGTACATTCTAGTATTTGTGGACTAACGATTAGAACTGATGGCGCCTTCTTCATTTAATGCGAGCCGAATGAAGCTTGAAGGTGGTTACTAGGCTGGCAGCTCTGTCAATACTGCTTCCATGGGAAACAGGAAACGTGCAATTTTTTGTGGAACACGTACATGACTTTCACGTAAATACTATTCTGCCATTTCTGCGAGCCTTCGGAAATAGAGCTCAATGAAGTATTCTCCAGAAACGCTGTAAAAGTTATGCCAAGTCTCGATTTTTAGCACCGTCAAGGTCTTAGTAAAAAAAAAAGTTGGGTTTATGGAGCCCTCAAATAAAGATAGAATCAAGTTGATGCACAATCTTCACAGCAATCTAAGCTAGCGAATCTCCATCTTCAAAAAACTGGTTCATTTGGATATGTTTTAGAGGAAGACAACATGCGATTTTTATTTGTGCTCAGAACAGAAGTCATTGATTGCAAGAAATTTTTGATTTTTTGCAGAGTTCCACAATTTTTACGTCAACTTACTAAGGTGCCGCCTTTCGTATGTTTTTTTTCATTACTCAATACGCTCTTGATTTTCCTTCCAATGGAATAGAACAAACATTTACTTATACATTTACTGCAACAATAAATCATCATGTAGTTTGAACATCCTCTTGGAATAGGTTAGTTTAAGGATATTTGGATTCAGTTATATGGACAACTGCAGTACTGACTACCGAGTAATATTGAACTGATGTGATCTACGAAGACGGTACCCATTATACTTTGGACTCGAATCATTAGAAACCGAGGTTTCGAACGAATACTCAAACGTTTTATTCAAATGTATCCGACTGAGATTCGTATTCGCAAGTTCGGTGCAGGGACACATCAAGTGATCCGGGAATGTCAGCAAGTTTTGTTCAATTTACGTGCAGTTGTACTATAGATAATCGAACTATTTATATAGACTTATACAGGGTGTCCAAAAATGTGAACACTGTTTGTTTGTGATCGTTAATAACTCTCTTGCTTTCATGTCTTTCACCGAGCTTGCGGTAACATTCTGTAGAACGAGGTTCAACTTAGATCTACAGCATGGAACGAATCTCCGATCCTTCTCCGTTACTGTAGGATTACGGTATAAACTTTCAGCATATAGCGCCACTGTGGAATAGACCTTTTGAGCAAAAAAATTCTAAAAAGATCCAGAAGTTTGTGTAGCAAGGGTTTCAGGCATGCTTCGCTACTTAAATTTTTACCAGTTTTTCGAGCTCATTTAGTGGTGTAATCACACTTCTGACGAACGTTGAAGAAACAGTCGCTACCTTAAACTGGGATAACTTTTTAAAAAGCATTACAATGGAGCGCAACTTTGATATTTAGAATCAGCGACTTCAGTCAGTCCGATACAAGTTTCTAGCTTGTTTAATTCCCTTCCGAGCCATGAATCGCTCTCATTTCCTAAAATTCTTCTCGAAGTTTCTACCGTTATATTATGACTGGCTCCATACTGTGAATCTAAGTTCATCCTCGCTCTACATAATGGCACCTCAAGCTCGGTCAAAAAGACGTAAAAGCAAAAGAGTCATTAGCGATCAAAATGTGTTCACATTTTTTTTGAGATACTCAGTATATTCAACGATTTTTCCAAATGTTTAGCCATTTCAATACTTCATTCGAATATATTATTCGGAGCTCGAACCTCAATATTAGGATACTAGATGGCAAACCCGGCTCCGCCCGGGGCCAAACTTTGCACACATACACTTCGGGGCAGGGAGCGTGTCATAGTCCACTTTTCGTTATCGATCGATGTCGATTTCACCGATTTTTTGCAAATTTTGAGCTACGGGGCTGGGATTTTGCACAGGGGGGTAATCGAACATGCTGATCACCCCTACGGGGTGATCAGCATGTTCGATTACCCCCCTCTGCCAAATCCCAGCCCTCTAGCTCGAATTTTGCAAAAAATCAATAAAATCGATATCGATCGATAACGAAAAGTAGCCTATGACACGCTCCCTGCCCTGAAGTATATGTGTGCCAAGTTTGGTCCCGATCGGTTCAGAAATAAAAATTTGTATTCGGAACATACGTACATACATACATACAGACAGACATACAGACAGACATACAGACAGACAGACAAACAGACAAACAGAGTACTACTCTACTATTGAAGTAGTACTTGTAATGAGATGATCGGTAAACGCTGCAGCGTCAAGTGCCACTCTCACACATTTTATCTAATGCAAAAGGTTTTTTGGAAAAAGCTGAGAGGTCAAAAACAAAAGGCAACGTCGGCTGCAGAAGGATTTGAACCCACAAGCTTTCATGAGATAGGGAGCACACCGTTAGTAGTTGCTGCGGTGCTCACGAAATAATGTGTTAACATGATTTGACTTGTAAGCTTCCAAAGAAGCGTCCCTCTGGTAAGGGTTGCTATTTTGAGATCAGCCACTGGCTTCAGCACATATCGTGCATACCCCAAAATTGTTCCCATGGGTACTATCAATGACTTTCGCTCGATTTAAAACGTCAAGTTCGAATGAGCGCCTTAAAGGCAGTGTCCCGGCAGATTCCCGCCCTGGGGGATTTTGCTATGGAGGGGTTTCTGGTCATCCCACTGACCTACAGGCGCAGTCCGGCTGGTTGATGTCCTCCCTGGGCTGAGATAATAGCCCTCGAACCGGCGCTCGCAATTGCAACCGGCGGGCGCTCGGACGACTTCGCTTACCGTTCGGCGGGGATCCCACAACCGCTCTTTCTAATTTTGCATGTTATCCAAAGCAAAAATTACAGGCAGCAGGGTCTTCGTGCCACCTTCCAACTTTCCATTGAAATTCTCGTCCAAGCTGCTGTTTAAAAATTGGGTAAACGCCCCGAAGCTCAAAGTCGGGGTCTACGGGTCGAAAAGACCAGAACATGCAAAAAGATGGAAATGTAAAATCTGCCGGGACACTGCTTTTGAATTTACTGGAGTTAACTGTTGTTGAAACGACTAAAAGGCACCACGTTAATGGTACCTATGGGAAAAATTCTGAGGGGTGCACCATATTCCCTGAATGTAAAAAAAAACCAAAGCGACCAAATTGTGGCAAGAGCCTAACTTTACATGTGAACTACTACAGACACTTCCTCAAAATTCTGGAATGTATTTTGAAATTTTTTAACAAATGCGCTTCTTGCAAAATTTTTCGAATACAACTCGTTTAAATTGGGTAGATCAAGGAACAAACTAGTAATACAAAGAAGAAAAAGCTTAACTAAACGTTAGCTAAGTCACTCGTCGATCACTGTACGGGTTTGAAGTCCATCAAGAAACAGACTCAAACGAAGAAAACTATGAACAAACGGATTAACATGATGATAATGATCGAAACCTGAATCGCTGAGCGAGGAGAGGCCTCATATTTACTTTAAATGTCTCTGTTCTCCTTTTTCTGTCCCTTTTTTTGCAAAGTCGTCCATCTTTCCGTGAAGTCCACCAAAACTTTGTAATTACTGAGTATCTGCCATGGCACTGCTAGGGGCGATTTCAACAGAATAAATGGTTTGTGAAGGCTTTAAGTTTCTGAACCTCAGCTTGCGAGCAGCGTTTCACCACATCGATATCTCAACATTACACTAATTTCTACTATGAACATTAAGCAGTGCCTAATATATCCTCAATACAAATTTACAGCGTTCTCATTGAGTTTGTAGGAAGATAAATTGAAAATGTGAGGTAATACACTGGGGATCCCCTAGGGAATCACACCAAAACAGTGAAAACTCAGTTTATATGGCAATGTTAAGGTCTGTGTCAATTGCCAAATTGACAATTTACATAGATATAAGGGTATGTGAACCTTCAAAAGATAGACAGAAAAAGATTGATGCAGATGCTTGGAGTAGCAAGCAGTGGCGGACCGAGGGGGGGGGGGCGGGGGGGGGCGCGCGCCCCCCCCGAGAATGGGTCGCGAAATTTTTGAAACTTACCTATATGGGTTGTAAAAATGTGCAAACGACTTGTTTGCACTTGAAAATAATTAAAATAATTTTTGAAATTTTTTAAAAATTCATTTTAGCCTTATAAAAAAATTTTTTTCGGGGGCGTGGCTGACGCCACGCCCCCTTTTTTCAGATTTTAGGGGTCGGGGACCCGCAAAAATTTTGAGAAGCACCCCAAAAATTTTTTCGGAGTGCGTGGCTAACGCCACGCACCTTCTTTAGAAAAAAATTTTTTTCGCGCCCCCCCCCGAAAAAAATTTCTCGGACCGCCACTGGTAGCAAGATATGATGCGTCCCCTCTCAGATCCCCTCCTCTCCCCCGGGGGGGGGGGAGGCGTGCAAGTGGTACCCGGGCAGCCGACTGCTGCCGCAGCCAGCCGCCAGAGCTGCCGGCAAAGCCGGTGCAGATGATATACTAATTACGCTCGTTGTCTAAAACTCTTGCCAAGAGGTTTTTTCGCACTTCGTCGCTCTGGGTGCAACATCAGCCTCAGAAAAGCGTGATATCCTCGATATCTATATCATTTTGAACGGCAGAAAATTCGTTTCTTGATAAACATACAAATGAACAAAAGTAAACAGAGCAAGGTTTTTCTAAAGGAAAGTGATCACAAAATGAAATTGTGTAGGTCAATGATAGTGTGATATCCTCAATATCTATAGCATTTTGAACAGCAGAGAAAAGCTATATTTCATTGGGAACCGCAGTCAAATAAAAAACTGTATCGGAACTTTTTCCAAAATTCACAAACAATTACAAAAATGAATGAAGGGAGTCAAACAGTTTTTCCTGTTACAAATTCTAAAATTTTGAAATTAAAGTACAATAAATGTCTATTGGCTGTAGTTCAAATAACCTTAATTCAACGAAGAATTCTTAGAAATCAAATTCACTTTTCTATGAACGCTTCAGAATTCGAAACGCGATTTTCTTGAAAACTTATCAGAGGTGGTCCTTTCAATTTTGAACTTTTATTATTTTGCAGCGAGTTCTGAATTTCGAATTTTTTCATTATTATTTATTTATTTTCTCAAAATCCCTGGAGAATGAACAGTGTAGATTGAAATATTACAAATTTTTTTAGTGACTACGTTCCCTTCAGCAGAAGTGATTTTCATTTTTTATCATTGACCTATTCAACTTGATTGACCTATTTTGACTTATTTAGCTCGCTTAATATCACTATGTATTAAATGATCATTCCGACAGTTTTCTTATCGTTATATCCATGACATTTTCCTGTAATTGTTCTCGTCCGTACTTCGACGTAAAAATGAGGAAAGAATTCTAGAAATTTGAGAATTCCCAAATTTTTCAGCTTTTGCTTCCTTGGAATTTTTGAAATGATTTGACTTTGTGATCATATTCCTTCAGAAAAACTCTCTTCTGGTTAATTTTATTTATTTGCATTTCCTCAAAAACATGAGTTCCAACATGAGCTGTTTAAAATGATATAGTGTAAAAGTGATTGAAAAAAATTCATTTTAATTTCAATTCAAGCTTTAAGAACTAATGCATATAGTAATTTTCATTCTTCTCCCCTTTAGGGTTTTCCATAGATATCGAAAATATCACACTTTTCTGAGGCTGATTTTGCACCTGAGAGGGACTAGGTGCGAGAAAGCCTCTCGGCAAGAGATTTAGACGACGAGCGTAATTACTGTACCATCCGCAGCGGCTTTACCGGCAGCTCTGGCGACTGGCTGCGGCAGCAGTCGGCTGCCTGGGTACCACTTGCTACGCACCCCCCCCCCCCGCGGAGATGCACCTGCATACGGGCCTAAACAATAAGATGTTTGCTTGAGTTACTACTGATATCTTCGCAGAGGTAGTTTCAACGATTTGAAGTTCATAAAGAAACAACAAACTATCTCGCTAACAATGTTCCTGTACCAAGGTATCGCTATTGGTGGACATCAAAGTGGCGGCGATTTTATTAATGGCGCAATTATCATGGCCCAAGTAAGAATTTGAAGAAAAGACTACTGTGAGTTTGAGTGAGCATCTCTCACAAAACGAAGACTTTTTATTATTAAAGGCGTTGAGATGTATGCAGAATCGCATCGAAGAAGTGCGCGTAGAAATAACATTGAAAGTCAAATAGAAAAGTGTCATTAATCTGAGTCATCGCTATCCTCGCTACTATCTTCCTTTTTCTTCTTTTCCTTTTTTGGCAAAGTTCTATCTACAGTCTTCTCTTCCTTCCTTGGCAATGTCTTATTCTGTAGCTGGTTCTAACACAAGTTCTTTAGATTCACTCCTGCTTGCAGGTTTTTCAACTACTTTTTGATGCTGGATTTTTTGGATCTTCGGCCTTTTTATTTTTTGTACAGATGCGCTTGTCGCCTAAAATGGATCTGAAAATTAGAGTGTCGAAAGCTTTGACCGCTTAACATTGAAAAGACTGTTAAAATAGAGTGATGACCATATCCATTCGATCACTGCTATAAAATCGGATGAAAAAGTGTTTGAAAGGTTGTACTAGTAGGTTTGACTTTTGCCGACCTTGGATTTCACAGAATCTTTCCAAAGTTGAAAACGAAAACGTTCCAAATAAATAACGCTTGTGTTTTTTGTCGTTCGCGTGTCTGATACTAATCTGCCGTATTTGTTTGTCTTATCTTTATCACCCTATTTAATATCATCTTTACACAAAAATTTTTGAATCTCCTTACTTTTGGCAATTTATTCGATAAATCAAGAAATACCTCAAAAACTTACCTGTTGTTTATGGGCGGGTACAGATGAAGTTGCTGAATTAGTATGAACGGCACCCTTGGCGTTTCTTTTGGAAGGCCCTTTTGTCGGCTTGGAAGAACTTTTTGTTTTTGACCTTGTCTTGGCCTTCAAAGCTTGTTTTGTGGAAGGCTTCGATGCCGTTCTTGCTTTAGAGAAAGGTATTTTTTTGGCGGAAGCTTTCTAAACATGAAACGATTGAGTCACAACCTTACAACCTCATTTATATTATACCAGTGCGTCACCTCTGCTACGCAGAGGCTCGCACTGGCCCCTACTTTCTGTATGCCTTACTTATTCCCGTATAATAGTGACATTGAAACTCACCGTGCTACGCCGACTACCACGAATGAAATGTAAACAGCTACTCATTTAGAAAGCTTTTTCACGTGAGATCGGTGATTTCGCATAAAAAAATTTTTCGCAGGAAGATAAAGGCAAATTTGAATAGGTTTTTGAATTTGTCATGGTTTGATAGTCGCCAGAAACGCAATAGTCACCGTAAGCTACATCTCTGTGCGAAAATCTTCTCAAATGCTTTTCTAGAACCTTGGCAAATTGACCATTTACGCAAGCAGTACTTTTTGGCGCCGTTTTTGTAAAGTAATGGACTTTTGGTCACTTATTTGGGCTTAAGTTCAAGGCTTGCACATTTACTTGCCATAAACACCCACCACTCTGCAAAAAGTGGAATTACGGACCCAATTTTGTGGGCCAAATGCAAAGTGGATCCGTTTGACGCGCAATTTTCAAGAGACCCACTCAACGTTCTGCTTGTGCTTTTGCATGTTGGACTTTCATGCCAGTAGCAAGTGCTATGCAAAATTTGAGCCCAGGACGTTGGCTGGAACACGCTCTACGAATTTCGTGACAGACAGACATTCAGACACACACACACACAAAAACACGTAAACACTCTTAGCGCGTTATTATAGTAGGATTTTTGGAGAGCTCGAGAATATTTTTGGTGAAGCAGTGCAAACTCCTCAAGATAGCCTTTGAACATGCTCGTGTTGGACACGCGTGAAGCTATATACATAATCGTGGGGTTTCACGCTCGTAAAACGCCCAAAGAATTATCTGGTCCTGACATGCTTCTATTTCCACCAAAAAGAAATTCACATTGTCGTTTTATTTTCATGCGCGAAAATAAAAAAACCATAAACATTGCAGACCTCTGGAAATGACATCATAGATATCTTACCTTGCATATCCGCTAGTTTTTAGTATGGTTCAAATCTAGCCCGAGAACCCGAGAAACCCAAGACAGGAGACATTTCCGTGTTTTTGGCCTGTTTTTGTTTATCGACTTCTAGCCTTCAAGATACAGTAACGGTATGTGACACGTGTGCAAGTATGTGATCAACAGGATATTCTGGAGTCAAGAGGTCGATAGCATTAATGTATAGGTCGTTCCAAGTTCGCATTTTTCATTCTCGTCTTTGTTTCTTTGGGAAGCGGTTGTTCTGCGACAAATTCATATCGTTGAAAAAAGCCGATTATCCCTTTACAATGAACCTATTGATTTCGATGGGAAGCTGATCCACGTTATTTCTCAGCTTCCAAATGTGGAATTTTCAAACAACAAAAAGAAGCATTTTCAACACCTACTCATTTTTTCTTACAAAAAATGTCTTTGCATGATTTTTTTGCCGAATACGAAAATAGCGCTTTTCCGTCAATATGAGACAAGAAAGAATGAAATTTTTCAAAGAAACCAAGAATTCGCAGGGTGTTCTCTGAACAAGACTTTTTCCAGGACAGGCAGGAAGTTCTGCACTGATGATTGCTAGACGGGAACACGGTCGATCATAACGCACGCAACCCATTTGCACCGTCTAAACGAATTCTTACTGCAAAAATGTATCAAACAGCTCCAGTGAATTTTTGCATGATATGACTCTATACGGCGAACATCGTCAAAACTATCTTGCAAGACTTGATTGGGAGACACATTTGTATCCGACAAACTCCTCAAACCTCGCCTCACTTCAGATGATACTTCAGACCTTTTCTCCCGCTCTATAGCAAACCGTATGAACGGCGCTTGCTCCGATTCTAAAGACTGTTGGTTAGACGACATTTTCGGAACCAGACCCGCTGAGTTTTGGAGAAACGAAGTTGAAAATCTAACGGCAAGGAAGCATGTTGCGCGCAGCAACCGAAAATGCATTGTAGACTGGATTTTCACAAACTTTGTCACTTCGTTGGTTTATGAAAACGCTACGAATTCATGTAACGACTTAATATAATTTGACACAATAACTTTTTGTTGGTCTGTATGGACTGCGAACAAACGATAAACCCATATGAGCCCTTTGGTAATGAGCAACAGGATGCAAGGATCAAACATTAGGCAATCCGTATCGCCCATGTTTCTAGGATTTGCAAGCAATCAATGGAATTGGTGCCATCTGAGAGCTCAAGTTAAAAGAAAACGATGGAAGTCTGATATATCGTCTAGCAGCTTTCACTTGTTCGTTTAGAGTAAGCCTTACAGGTGCTGTCTTTGCTGAAGGGGAGGTGGGCGACTTTGAGCCAGCAGACTCTCTGAATGAACCCTGGAATGAAAAGCACGTTGTCTACTCTTTAAAGACAAGAAGCTTACTGATGGGGATAGCGATTCCGAAAGTTCCACATCGACTTCATCCGGATATGAAGACGGCTGAAACAAAGCAGCTTTATTGCATCAACATGGTTGGCAGTGAATAGACTAGTTGATCCGAAATTTGCTTCTGTATTTCTTTAGGTTTGAATCGCTTGTCAAAACAGCAAAACTCGAGTCTTTCTTGTTGAATAGTTTGTTAATCTTGTTGAAGATATAAATTCATACCCTCGTTCTTACGACTGGCTGTACAGGAGCTGGAGACTCGGCAACTCGGTCATACTCTTCTTTTGAAGCACTTGTCGTGATAGTAGGTGGCTGAATATCAAATGTTTTTTGCGTGAACTGCCCATCGATTTTAATTGATCTTTACTGTTTTTGAGAGCGTTTATTGAAAATACCGGAATCAAATGCTCAATGATCTCGAATGCAAACTATGTAAAAAGAAGTGTTCGTAACAAAGATTTACAGCCTGTCATAACTAGCACGTAGCAGCAGTCTTCTTCACAGCTCATTAATGGCCGTCACATAATCACAACATGTGTAACAAAGATTTACAGCCTGTCATAACTAGCACGTAGCAGCAGTCTTCTTCACAGCTCATTAATGCCCGTCACATAATCACAACTTGTGATAACACGCTTATATTTAGCAATTTCACTCATATCGTTCCCCAAAAGTTTTGTCAAAATATGAACGGAGGGAGCAATTAGAACTATAATTTCTTTCCATCTTGAGGCTCTAAAGTCTTTTAAACGAATTAGTCAGAGCATAATTAATCCCCCTCTCCCCCACAATTGATCCCTTTCCATTATACAATTGAAAATTTGAAGTAGACATTGTGGGATCGATCCTAGAAAAAAATCCTTGAACGAACTTGTCTGCAAGGTCCCTTAAGTAGTGAACACGGTCTGGGATTGCCAGCGCGGTTCTGAGTAAACTAAACGTCGTGGGACTAGAGAGACTTGAAAAGGCAAATAAGCAGTGAGGTCATTACACACACCTAGTTATAAGACGTTGTTTGTTCAACTTACTCGATAAGCCGAGGATGAGGGTAATTTTCTTGTAGGGTAGCCTTCTATGATCCGCGAAGGAGGTGTCGATGCAGAGGGAGTGGCCTGAGAATATGCAAATATATCATCAACTGATTTCTTTGACATCCTAACCTTTGGTGTTAGCGAATTCACAGCCACTCTATTGGCATTTTGAGATACGGATATTGACTAAAATGGTATTCATTTTTGTTTCTTTCACTCTCTAATTTGGATTTTTAGCAAGCATTTTATTAATTCTTTGGGCCCTAGACTGGTATAGCGCCAGTCAAAACGTTCTCATCTTAAATGCATACATTGCAGCGTTGTTCAAAACTTAGAAACTGTGAAAGGCAAGGCGCATGCTACGGATCTGTCAAAAGCTCACAACTGTCATGTTGCATGCGATGGAGTAATGACCGCAAAGTTTTTTTCGCAAAGAAGGGGTCGATAGAAGTTTCTTCCACATGGGGCCACTGATCACGCGGTCCAAATTTTTATGAATCTTCTCAAAGTGTGCAAAGTGTATTAGAGTTAGTCTTAAAAATTATAATGTCTGGACCGAACAGATAAAAAAATTTCAAAGATTTTTTTCTTGGCGTGTCGTCGATTGCAAATCAACCGTTGATTTTGATTGCGGTGGCATGTGTCAGAGCTAGTGATGTTTATCTACAGTCCATGCAAAAGTGTGGACGAAGTCGACGTGCTCGACTTCTATCTCATGCCTTCTTTGCATCTTATTGTTAGGCACAAATTTTCCGTACCTTCCTACCTTTTAAAAGCTTCAAGAGTTCGTCCGTCTCTTGTGCCCTAATATGTTCACGTGCTAATGTCACCTCAATCACTGATTCATTGATCTCTGGCTGTCATAACAAGTTACTAACGGTTTAATTTTTGTCAGTCGACTCAAACTAAATACGTGCCTTGTTCCGAGCGCCGACTATTACCTAGGGGCATTATGCGATGACTGTTTAATTTCGTCGTTCATATAGGGTGCTGAGGTGGGGAAGAAAGGGGAAGGCGAGATATTTTGGCCCATTATTGCCTTCAATAGGATCTCCACTTTGACACCAAAAAATTACTCCTAGCGGACTACCTCCTTTTGAACTTGCATAGGGATCTAACTTAGCACTGCAGGTATGAGTGCCTTTGTATCGGATCAGCAGCTTTCGCTAGCCGCCCTGTAGTCGCCGCTACCGAGCTACGCTCCAATGCATGCGCCTACGCCTTTCATCTCCCAAGTTTCTTCTTGAATCTCGTTATTGTGCAGTTTGGCTATAATGCACTTATTGTCGTCATTATCTATTTGCCGTGGAAGCTTGCATATCCTGTCGGTGGTCAATTTCATTGATGCGATCTGTCTTGTCTGGAAGGATGAGAAATTAATTCACCCCTCCAAACTTTAATGCCCTTGAAGTTCTTCTGGTGTGCTCTAACTCCTTATCTTTGACATGTATTTTGCGGCGCGTCTTTTTCTTGTCATTTTGCCCCATCTAGACCATACCTTTTTACCCTCCACACATATTTAAAGCGAGGTGTTTCGTCGCCGGGTTCAACTCTGGCTTCTATCAACGACGAGGAAAGAATCGCCACCGTCACCAATTACTCTAAGGGCCGCATGCACTAACCTCCCCGCTGGAGAGGGGATCGCAGCTCAAAAAAAGCTTTATATTTCGAAACTCCAGATACCTGGATTTCACATTGTGTACCTATCCGTAAGTATTCCTACTACCCTTCACTATGAACATGTTGAACAGGAGCGAGAAGCTGTACGAACCGCATTTCCAGCTTTTGTATGATCCCTGATAATCCCTCTTTAAAGTCATTCTTCTTTCTCCGAAGTTAACGAATAACCTCCAAAGTTGCGCAGATTATCTAAGCCGACAGTGCTAAGCATATTGCTGATAAGAACAAATGATGTTTTGAAGTCATGAAATTTTCGATGATCCACAGGTCGAAAATTAGGGTTTACCGAAAAATTCGATTTTTCAAAAATTCATTTGTCTCATCAGCAACATGCTGACCACTGTGGGTTTAGATAATATGCACAACTTTGGAGGTTTTTCGTTAACTTCGGAAAAAGAAAAATGACTTTAAAAAAGCGCCGGGGATCACCAGGGGTCATACAAAAGCTGGAAAATGCGGTTCGTACAGCTTTTCGCTCCTCTTCAACATGTTCATAGTGAAGGGTATGGGGAATACTTACAGATAGGTACACAACGTGAAATCCAGGTATCTGGAGTTTCGAAATATAAAGCTTTCTTTTAAGCTGCAATCCCCTCCCGCGGAGATGTTAGTGCATGCAGCCCTAAGTGATCATGCTCTTCAACCACTTCATTCGCTTGAAGCCAAAAGTCATGTCATTCAAGGATGCCGAGTTTTGTCTTGAAGCGGTTAAAGAGGATAAGGGAACAAATATAGATTCTGCCGTATAGATGCTGATGTATGGGAGTCAAACTGTATATTAGGGAAAATCAAGAAAAAGCGTGGAAGAGGAGAGACATAGACAGATGCATTGTGAGGCGCGGTGAAATCTGATTTTCTCGTGCTCTTAAGATAACAAAAGCAACTAGCGACGGCTACGGGCGATAGCAGCTGCCGGCGCGGTATGAAGGCATCTTATTACTATAATATCTTTTGGTAACTGCCAAAGCGATGCCACGAGGGTACTCTCCTCCTCCATATGCTTTACCGTTGTGCTATGTGTTCTCTTACAATGTTAACAGCAGATTCGCGACAACGAGGGCAGTCCAGATTATGCGGCGACGAAATATAACTGCGATACATGAACTAACGCGGATGTGCAGAGAAACGCCGAGAGAGTACTGGGGAGCGCATGCACTCAATTAGGATCCACATAGTTTGCATAACAGCGACGTAGAGTTGACGGCGTTCGCAGTTAGTTTCCAGACTCTATGCACTTGAAGTGCAATTTATAGAGCTTGCTCCGCATGGAAAGTGCAAATATGGGCAATAGTCGTCAAAGATCACCTACTCATTCATAAACGAGCAAGAAGGGGATCACGTGCGTGTCATGTGCCGAGCTCAAGCAACAACGAAATACTGATTCCAGACTACCGAATTAGTGCAAATGTCTGACCCACAGCTGCTATCATAATTCGAAAAACTGTCGCCCATTTTGCTTCCTATCCTGCCTAACTTCTTACAATCATTAGTTTTTGAAAAGCACATTATGATTTTGAACAATATGAAGGTTAGGAAAATAAGATAATATAACCTGTCAATTTTACGGGGATTCGCCTAAACCTCACCTTTTGAATGCTTAGTTGGTTGGTGCTTGCTTGGTACACCTTGTGAATGCTTGGTTTTGAAAATATTGTTTTTGCCTCTGGAAATAGAAAAACAGGGGGAGCTACGTCTCGTTAGAAGAAAAGAATCAGTTGATTCATGCGGTAGTATATTTTTCTAAATTTCTAGGAACATTTTGCTAAATTTCTAGGGTTAAATGCTGAATCTCACGAAAATCTGTTAAATACTTACTTTTGGATGCTTTACAATGTGAAAATATTGTTTTTGCCTCTAAAAACAAATGAGCAGAGGGAGCTCGGTCTGCTGAAAGGAAAGACCCAACAAATCCACTCGAAAACACATTTCTTCCAGCTAGACTTTAACGTGAAAATTCACAGAACTTGCTGCATTTGTTTTTGGCGGCCTTTACTTTGTGAAATCCCTACTTTTGCAATAAAAACAACACAGCAGAGGGAGCTTGCCTTAATGGAAGAAAAGACTTAGTGTTCATGCGGCAAGAGATTTTTGATATGATTCTCTAGGTTTCAGTGCTGAATCTTACAGGAAAGGCTTGAAATTCACTTTGGCCGCTTTTATCTTGCGAAAAGCGTACTTCTGCTTTAAAAAGCATAAGTCTCGAAGAAAGGAAAGCTTCAAAGGACTTTATGCGGCAGCACATTCAGGCTAGGGACTACTCAGTTTCAATGCTAAATCATGCCAAATCTCGCTTGAAATACACTCTTGAATACCCAGAGGTTTCATGCGACAGGACATTTTTGCTAGGAATGTCCAAGAAAAAGCTTTGAGCAAGCTTTGGTCTCGCTTTGAGAAATGACCGTTTCTTGGCGAGACGTAATAAGGAGAGTATAGGACTGTGCATATCGCGAAGCTTGATGTGTTAGCGGCCGTTGCACAGTTCCTGAATGTCAGCCTGAGTTTCGGATAGAAAGCTGTTCTACATAGATGACTGCTGAGGTGATCTTCATGTTTAGTAGCTGTGGTATCTGGGTCGGGTACTTGCAAGAAGAATAGCGTAGATGATTTGGGAGTTACTTACCATGAAAAGTTTTCTTGAGAGCATAATCTTACTTCTACTACTCGTACTTACGTTACCCCACGATCGTTGAGAAAATGGAAATGATCTTGAAATGAAATCTTGAAAAAGCCTGATCTTGCTTCCACTACTACTTGTATTGTGAAAAAGATCGTTGAGAAAATGGGAATTCATTCTCTTGCTATTCTTAGTTGCACGCAGACAGTTATCAATGTATCTGCCCCAAACCCACTTGCTAGCCGTAGGGTCGTACTGCCGCGGAACATTTTTCAAGACTTCCTTGTTTTCAAAGCTAAGTTATAAAAAACCTCCTTGAAATCCAATTCAAGCAAAAATTCTTGTTCTCTCAATAGCGGAAAAGTAAAGGAGCTTTGCAAGCAGAACAGCGCAGATGATTTGAGAGTTACCATTGCAAAAAGTTTGCTTGATAGCATGATTTTACTCCTACGACTACATATTTACGTTTCGCCAAAAATTGTTGAGAAAATGGAAGTCCATTTCCTTGCCATTTTAAGTTGCACGCAGATAGTTATCAACGTATCTGCCCCAACCCACTTGATAGCGACCCCTAGGGTCGCTACTGCCGCAGGACATTTTTCCGAACAATTCCTTGGTTTCAAGGCTAAGTTATAAAAAAATCCTTGATCCATTTTAACCGCGCCTACTTCGCGAAAGTATGCTTTGGCACCCAAAAGCAAAAAAGCAGAGGAGGCTAGTCTCAAAAGAAGGACAGAGCCACGGGCTTCACAGCAGGACCTTTTTGCTAGATTATCCGATAGAAAGCTTCAGCGAGTTTTATATCTTTTAGTGTCGCCTAAAAGTGCCTTCATACCGCGGCGGCAGCCGCCGCTGGCAGCCCGTAGCAGCCCGCAGTAGCCGCCAGCAGCCCGTAACCGTAGCTGTTGCTTTTGTCATAAAAGCGCAAAATCATCAATTCTTGGTATTTTAAGCGCAAACGCCCACGCTTTCCATCTTCCACGCTTTTTCATCCCTGTTGCGGTTAACCTGCAGTTCCACTTTCACACACTACAAACGGTTAATCTGCAGTTCCACTTTCACACACTACAGAGTTATTCAAGATAAGCACCGGCCAAGGATATAATTGAAGCAGAACCATGCATATAAAATAAACACTACAAAATTGAACGAAATTGCGAAAATAAAATCGTAATTCTACCTTAATCAAAAGAGCAGAGGAGAATAGGTCTCGAAGGGAGGAAAGCTGCAGCAGCTTTATGCAGCAGTGCGTTTCTGTTGATAATTTCTCAGTTTTAATGCTAAATTATACAAAAGCTCGCTTGAAGTCCACTTTTAATCGCTTTTACTTCGCAGAAATCACATCTCTGTCTCTTATAACAAAGAAGCAAAGGGAGCTTGGTCTCGAAAAAAAGGTTCCAAGAGCTTCAAGCGGCAAACATTTCTCCTAAGAATTTCTCAGTTTCAGTGCTAAATTATGCAAATCTCGCTTGAAATCCACTTTTGACCGCTTTTATTAGGTCTAAGAAAGTTCCCGGGCATTTTTTTCAAATTGCTGTAACTTCAAGCAGATTGATTCTTCTTTAAAAAAATTGTCTTTACAAATTTCTTTGCAAAGACAATTTTGTTTACAGCATATATTTATCTTGCTGGCTTTTCAGCGTCTCGCTGCGGTCCACCAGCATGCGCAGAAGGGAAAAATCGACGCGAAAAGTAAACTATTTGCGCAGAATATCTCAGGCATGATGAGAGCTGGACAGCTCATATGCTGTAGTTATATGGAAGTCTGCCAGGGCTGTCTTGGAGACTATTTACGCCTTTAAGCGACTATCTGCAAAATAAGTTTTTCCAGAAAGGTTAAGAAATCGACCATTTTTTGCCTCAAAAATTCACCATTTTTCGAGTAAGCGACTTTGAAGTCTTCTCGTTTTCCACAGAAGACAGCAAATCTTTGATTATTGCGAAGATTGTTGGGCTAATGCCTTATACATTCTTTTGGACCCAATGGCGATTCTCGCAGAAGCGATGTCAGCTGCGAAAATAGTTGCAGTCAGAGGTAAGTTTGACAGCTTGTAATTTCTGAGCGCAATCGCAAAACGAGTGCAGCTGCGGGTCAGAAGCTAACAGTCTCCTCGATTGGATCACACACAATTTGGACGAGAACCTATGAACTTCACAAAAAATGGCCGCAGGAAGAAAAATTGTGAAATTGTCATGGTTAGAAAGCTTTCCTTTTTGATGTGCAGATCATACATGCTTTGGTATCGATGAAAATTAGAAGCGACTTCAAAAAGATTAGGCTTCCTTCTAGCGAACAGTATAAAAACTCGGTGTCAAATACCGACGGAGCGGCAAAAAATGCATCAAAAAACGAAATTTTAGAAGTGCCCGGACTCTTCCTTTACAACCTAATATTTCGCAGAAATTATACCTCTGCCTCCTATAACAAAGAAGCAAAGCGAGAGCTTGATCTCGAGGGAAGGAAGGTCTAAGAGCTTCATGCGGCAGTGCATTTCTGCGATATCCAATTTGGCCGCTTTTACTTCGCAAAAATCATACCTCTGCCTCCTACAATAAAGAAGCAAAGCAAACTTGGACTTGAGGGAAGGAAGGTCCCGAGGGCTTATGCGGCAAGATCAATGCTAACTTATCAAAAATATTGCTTGAAACCCATTTTGGCCGCTTTTACTTCGCAGAAATCATACTTCTGCCCCCTTCAGCAAAAAAAGGGGAGTTGATCTCGTGGTCTCGGTCTATGAGGCAGGACATGTTTGCTAAGATTGTCCAAAAGAAAGCTTTGAGCGGACTTGATCTCTCTTTAAAAAATGACTTCGCGAGATATTATAAAGAGAGTGTAGGACTGTGCATGATCGCGAAGCTCGATTTGTTTGCGGCCGTCGCGCATTCCTGAAAGTCAGTCTGAATTTCGGGTTGAATCAGCTTTCTGCATAGATGACTGCTTAGGCGATTTCCATTTTTAGGAGCTGGGGTTGGGTCTTTGCAAGAAGAACAGCGTATATGATTTGGTAGTTAGTCGCTGTAAGTTTGCTTGAGCCTGATCTTGCTTCTATTACTTGCATTGCGAAAAAGATCGTTGAAGAATTGGGAATTCATTCTCTTGCTATTCTGAGTTGCACGCAGACAGTTATCAATGTATCTGCCCCAACCCACTTACTAGCGACCCTACGGGTCGCTAGTCCTATATACTAGCTGCGTCACCTCGCATCAATTGTGGAAATTTACGAACTGTGATGGCGTGCCGTAGGTGGCGGAAACTGCTCAAGCGCAGGAATTAGCATGTCGTCAATAACCGAGGATAATTAAAAGGATAAAGGAAAAGATTCGGAATTTTCATACTCTCCGGGCACGCTCCGAACGCATTCTACTTCGTAGTCGATGAAGCAGGTGAATGCGTGCCTTTTACAAGAACTTGCGGGGAGCGAGGGGGGCAGCCGATTACCAAGTCAGTGCTTTTATCCTCCATTACTCTGGTACCAATTTACAGGTCCCGGAGTTTAGAGGACTTGGTTGGCCTGGAGGAGGGGAACGAACCTTGGTCCGATCTGATCATAGCAGCACCTCATACCGCTACGTCACTAATCCCCCTACCGAGGATAATTTAAGGAGAAAAAAGCTTTGTAAACAAAACAGCAACAAACATTTCAAAACCAAACTCACTGATCGACTAAACTCTGCGGAGTCTTGCAATGTTGCAGGCAAGGAAGAACAGGCGCACTTTTTGAGAGACGTAGCAATCTGAGCAAAAAAGCGTTTCATGTTTTGTCACATGTAGTTTGTCATCTTTGCGACTCTTTTACATTCAAGTAATTTGAGTACGTCGACATGTCGTAAAAAAATAGATTGTACTACATATAGCGTACGTAAGCACTCTCTAAAGCTCAAGCCACACAAAACCTTTGACTATGCACTTTTATAAACTGAATGATGTCTAAATTTCATGATGTAATCACTCCACTCGCGTTTTTCTTTGAATTCATCCAGTACTTTGACTGACAAGTGCTTTTCATGCAAGATCCGATCCAGCCGGTTTTCTTTTGTTTACTACCCAATTTCACTAGCTCAAAAGTTGCCGAAAACTCGTGTTTTGACTTCATGTGTATGATAATTCACCCGCGTATTGGCATTATGACAGCATGGCCACGGTTGCAAACCTTCAGAGAATTAACTAGGCGAATGACAACGCTGCGTAGTACAGCGCCTGCTCGTCAAAGTACTCACTCAAGAATGCTGAGGCATATCGTAATGAGGTGGTTCTTGGACTCGCGTTGTATACTGAGGTAAATAATGTGCATGTGAGTTTGATAATGTTCTTACATTATCTCTCTTTTCGAAAGAAAAAATGAAGTTTTTTCTTGACGCATTAGCGAAGATCTTTATAATCTCAGTCTTACGAAACTGCCAGATAGCGATAAGTATTGTCAATTTTGATCTGCATTACGAATCAACTTATATATTAGGTTGGTGCAAAAATAATGAACGTTTTCCCATTTTTCACTTTAACTTGCTATAACTTTCTATAAAATCTACATTTTGAAATGCGATAAAGACCATCAGATGCAGCGAACCGTTCGCAGTACCGCACGTTGAGCTACACTCATATCTCATATGGGCAGAAAAATATGAATTGAAAAACAAAAAAGTTTTCTTCTGAAGTCTTATTTTTGACAAAACATAACTCCTTTCACACTTTGTTATTATAATTTATAAGCAGCCTATCTTGTAGCAGCAAGCCAGTAGTACAAATACACATGGAAAGGGCTTGGAGAAAAAAGATTAGCGAGGAGAAAAAAATCGAGATGCAAAAATATCAACTTTTTTAGCATTTTTTCAGTAAGCCTCAAAATCCTGAAGTATAGAATTTTCTAATTTTCTACGTACTGAACAGCTGGATGTTTTTGCAAAAACTGCTGATAGGATTCCTACCCTCACGCTTACGGAGATGAGCAAAGTTTGAGCGACTGCATTTTACAAAAGAAAGTTATGGGCTCTAAAATGACCACAACCATTACCCATGTTAAACCGCCGATGTCTCACTTTAGGTAACTTCAAAAAATATGGCTAAGTATGCATAATGTAGACAATTTCCATTACATATAGCGGCTAAATATTCGAAAAAGCATCTTCGTTTGCGCTCAAATTCTTACCGGAAAAATGAATGCAACGAGAATTTAGTTTTTAGTGCGATTATTTGAAGCTCTACAAACTCTTAACAAAGTGGGCTAGAAGTCCCTTTCGAACATCGCTAGATAGAGCATGAAAGGAGCTTTCTAACAGTGTGCTGAAACCATTACAAAGAAAGAAGTTTGATAGAGAAAAGTTATCCTGAAAAAAGTCCTGTGAAAACGCTCATTATTTTTGCACCAACCTTATAGTTATTCGAGTCTGTCTATGCATTCAAGAAAATAACATAAGGTTCTTTTTGGTAGAGTTATTGCGGACTATCTTCGTTTGCGAATAACGACTGATACTGTTTCCTGATACTTGACTTCCGAATATCATTGAAAACCTCATTTCAGAGATTTGAGCTTTCAAATCATTTGGATTTCCTTCAAACTCCAATTTCAGCACCTTGAAAAGCTGCAGTTTACTGCAGATTCTGCTTTTTTGACCAGTTCGAATGATCGGACAATCATCACAATTGATCAAAGTATGATTTGCAGCTTTCCAGGATAAAGTGAAGTTCCTGCTGCTTTTTTGCCGGAGTGCACTGGACGAAGACGTCATCATTGCTAGTGCAGAATCCGATGCCACCTCCACTAAAAAGGAAGCACTTAGCCAGCCAGCTATCGTTAAAGACGTAGGTTCCGCCACGAGAAAGGATGGAGCTGATAAACTGTCGTTGGCCACATGCACTTATTGGAACGCCGTTGTTCAACTACAGGAACCAACAAGAACTCTATACTTACAACGAACGCATTTTTTTCTGGATCCAGGTTCATCATACCTGCTTCGCTGAGTACAAAGATTCTTTGCATGTTACATGATGACCCTAAGCAAACCAGGATGATCTGCTCACACTAAACCATTTCTATTAGCCTGGTATCGAAGAAGAAGTCAAGAAGACTAATTGTGAGAAACATGTCAGATGCCAACTTGCCGCTAAGAACCTTGTAAAAGCCGAACTAACTCCATGGCCAATCGCCTGCCGCCCGACGGAACGCCTGCATATTGACTTCGCTGAACCGCTCGAAAGATGAATGTACCCCTTCGTGGATGGGTATTCTCGCAGGCCTGAAATTGTGTCAATGCAATCTACTACGTCGCCAGCTATGAATTTCCAGAGATGGGCAGACAAGGGTTGCCGGAAACGCTGGTTCCGGACTCAATTATCTTTCCGATATTTCGAGGATTTTTGCAGAAAGTACAGGATAAGAAGCACGTTCGGATTCCACCCTTCCACCCGCAGTGAATGGGCTCAACGCTTTGTCTGAATTTTCAAGACATGACTTTTGAAGCTGCCAGGAGAAAGAAACCTAAAAGCTTTTTCGAACCTACTACTTTGCTATCGCTCTACCCTGCCCGTTTTCGCCTGAGAATCGTTTGCCGACGAGATGTTCTTTTCGTGTTTGGTCACTGACGCTCGAAATGCCATACCAATCTATTCTTTCGAATCAAGACCGATGATGAAAGCCAGATACAATTACCAACATGAAGCCAAAAAAAGGATTTCGAATTGACAACCCATCAAAGCCTAATTCAAGACGTGTGATTAAGGATTGAGCGCTCACTCTAGAACGTAGAAGTTGAAGGATTCACATAGAGACAACCAGCTATCGTTTATTCGTTGACCGTAACGACTGCTGACCGCGCGGCGACCGCTGCGCGTGCATGATGTTTTCGTAGAAAAGATGAATAGAAAGAAAACAGAGGATTCTTCTCATCTTTATAATGTAGAAAAGAAACAAAGAATTCTTTTCATCTTAAGCCACGGTCCAACTTGTCACTTTTTCGCAAGTTTAGAAGGCACGCGTCGCAGTCGCCACGCGGTCGGCAGTCCGTACGGTCAACGAATGAACGATACCTCCTCGAGCCACACCAAATTTCATCCGAATCTGTAGCATTTCCTTTTTCTTTCTCATTCAAAATTTGCCTTACCATAATTCTCAAGGGCTCTGATGGAATCTGGCCGAAATGCTTGCATTCGTTGCCTACATGATAATCACCATAATACAAAGTGGAACCGCCACATTCAAGAAGGTAAGACTTATTACGAAAGGTTGCAAAACTTTTGTGCCAACCTAGTACTACCGGCTCAAATGACATCAATCTCGAGGTCCAAGCGCCTCATTCGATATCAATAGATCACACACGCAATACATGAACGCAGATAAAGCATACTCTTTACTTATCCATTTCATGGAAATCATCGGCGCTGAAACAAAAGCGGCATCACTGATTTAACAGTTGAGGAGAGATCAAGCGGATGAAGTAGATGAGTATGACCGTGTATATTCGCATAGTTTCCATAACTACGCGATTGATTTGATAACACTCACTGGTTCTTCAATTTCAACGTCGACTTCATCTGAATCCACTTCTCTCCGTATCTAAAACGGACGATTACCGAAAATGTCTCACGCAAAATTTGGAAAAAAAGATTATTATCTGCTTGCGCACATAAAAGAGAAACCGGAAGTAGGCGATTTTGCAAACTGTGCAGGACTAAGAAGCAAAATCTCAAACAAAAATCGTCAAGTTTCCGAGTGATTCATAGTGCATGCGACGTTAAATATGGATTCCAAGACACCGTTTTCAGTTTTCAAAATCTTTTTCCCGCTATTTGTCAATTTCAAGACTGCTTTCTTGTTTGATACCAAATATATTTAGTGCTGTTCGTTGAACGGATTGCAAATTTCTCAAAAGAATCCGATAGCGTTGCGCGATGAGTCTAGAAAGGTCAGCCTGCGCGCTGCCCCGCCTTTCACGGCAGCATACAAATACTGCGTCTCAGCTCACATTGAGTTCTCCCACATCTGCCTACTCGTTAGCGATCCCCTTCAACTCTAACCATTGATCGATCGAGCAGCGCCCCATAACTCAGGCAACTTCAACAACACCATGCTTCAGAGCACCGGCTCGACGAACCTGGGATACGCCCTCGCTTGCCACACAGCTGGTGCGACCTCAAAATTTTCCCCTGACTACTGGGGAATTCATCGGTATGTACTCAACCCATCGCATATGGGCCTGAACTTGAGATAAGTAATGGGTACTCCGAATTGCACTGCATTGAAAGCAGTGATAAACCACAGGCTGTGACCTTGCTCCAGTTATTTCTACATGTTATACTATCCATCTGAAATGTTCACGTCTGGAAAGATCTATATGAAGGAAGGCGGGCATGATGCCGGCTACCCAGTCACCAATGAACCACGTGTCAAATATGTTAATGCAGCTTGAGATAGCTGTCTGCTAGGAATAGAGGTTAGCTTGTAGCCGCTTAGGAGCTTTGACTTGTACGTGTATTTGTGTTGTTGCATCGCATGAAAACAGTGGCAAAAGCAGTGTTGCTACCCTTCAGTAGCTTTCGTCTCCTTACTTTTCGGATGGATCCTCGGCTCCTGCCGCCGATGCAAGAGAGCTATATACCAGTGGCGTACCGAGGGGGGGGGGGGCGAGGGCCGAGAACGGGTCGGGAAATTGAAAGTTACTTCATTTTACCCTTATAAAAAGATTTCGGGGGCGTGGCTGATTTTGAGCCCGCAAAAATTTTAGGGAGCATACCAAAAAAATTTTCGGAGTGCGTGCACCTCTATCGGAAAAAATTTTTCGTCGCCCTCCCCCCCCCCCCCGAGCCGGAATCCTGGATATGCCACTGCTATATACCACTTGACGTTTGGAGCGGAGGCCCCATTCCCCGGCACTTAAGTGTTGAGACTTGATGTCGTTGGCAAAATTTATGGGATTTTCATTCACTTCTCCCTGTTCATAATACTCTCACCAAACAAGCGTGAACAAGCGACATCCACCGAATTCAAGTATCAGTATGAAAGTTCCGATCATACACTATTTCAGTTTCATATGAGTATCCGCGCTAGCATCTGAGGTAGAGCTCAATCAAAAGAGCGTATGCGAAAGAATGGCGGATTCCGTGTCCGAAAGTTTCAAAGCCACTAAGTAATATCTCTAAACTTTTTACTTCAAACATTGCCTAATCACAATTTGCCTTCCTTTCTAAAACAGATTTTCGGTGCAACGCCTGCTTAACCAAGAAAGATAGTAGAAAAAAGTTGGTTACTGCGTTAGTAACCGAAGAAGAAATGAGCATCGTTGATCAATTAATTAGTCATAATAAATGATGCTAATCAACACAAATCATTGCTTATTATAACGGACTGAGGGTTTACGTGTTTCTGTGTGTGTGTCTTTACGTCTGTCTATATCACGAAATTCAACATAGCAAGTTCCGGCAAGATTTCCGTTTTTTCGTAAGTTTGCCAGCAGCATGTATTTCCGTCATGCAAAACGACGAGCGGATATCCTATGCATAGTCCTGCGAAAATTGCGCGTCAAGAATCCACATGGCCTTGAGCTTGCAAAACTGGGTTTGTATTTAAACATTTTGCAAATTCATAAGTTGTTTGACTACATGCATCGCTTCTAGTTCGGAAATTAATAAGAAGGTAAATTTTTTCGCGAAGTCCAAAAGCAGACAGTGGAGTAAATCGTGATCTCTCAAACGTCTTGCTGAACAGAGAAGATTATAAATCAATGTGATTCACATTGTCATCGCCTTTCAAGGCGCCTGTAACATAACCGAGTCAATTTGCATTAATTTTCTGCAGGAATGTTTATCCTTTCTACGTTACCGAACTAACATGGAAGAGCTCTTATAATGAGTACAGTAAGCCTGATCCCGGGTAGGCGAAACATTCTACGTAAAGCAGCGCGTGCGCATCGCTGGAGGCCTCGCGAGCATGTAGCGGCCAAGCAAAGACTAAAGAGAATGATGAGACGCGGACTTGGGTTCCCAGCAGGATAGCACTGTAGCTGCGAAAGGGCACGAGGTGAACGCCTGCCAATTCCATATCCGCCTAAAGCAGCTCGAAACTTACTGTAGTTGTTAAAACCTATGTGTGGTGTTCAAAACTGTGCGTGAGTTTCGAAACCATCATGACGCGGGCACGAGGAAAGCATATATTAGGTTGGAAACTAAGTTTTGCAACTAGTCTCATAACTTCCCTCTCACTCAACATGGCACACTCAAATTTTGCCACTGCGTTGGCTATTACGTAAGCTACAAGTGCAGCTGCTGTCGTGCCAAATTCTGACGTCGCATTGAGGGTTACGGTAGGTGCACGGTATGAAGGGGAAAAATTCAAAGATTGACGGATTTGGCTGAAACTTGGCATAGGGGTGTTATTCGACATGCTGATCACAAAAACGATAGTGAAATTGCGTGATAAGGGCTTTTTTGTAGGACTACTGTAGGTGCACGATATGGGGTCTCACCCTAAACAAGGGAAAAGGCGTTAATTCAACAAATGAATGTGATATTCGCGTTTGGCAGGTCAAATAACCTCACTATGTAAAGTCTCGGCGGAATTTGAGCTTCGGACTCTTTAGTCATTGACGGTCGTCCCCAGCAGCTCTTGCGTACATCGTCTCGTTCGAATTTATGAGGACGCCAAATCTCGATATGCCAATAAATTTTGTTTCTTTCTCAATAGACCTAAAAAGTCAACCTCCAGCAATAATTTGTAGACGAATCCGGATCACTGCGCATGGTCTAGGCTGCCAGAGGCTTCATTTTAGCTTGAAACCCCAAAAAATGTCAAATTTCAGTAGTTTTCGAAAAACGCCTGTAACTTTTCTATTTCGTGTTCAAAATTTAGACAATTTGTGCTCACTTGTAGCTCACGTAGCCTTCTATATAATGCCAAAGTTCAAGTACGCTATATCCAAAGAGAGCGAAGTTATGGAACCAGTTGCAAAACTTAGTTTCCAGCCTAATAGTTAATAGAGCCAGTGGAGCCTCTGCGAAGCAGAGATGACTCATCGGTGTGAGTATAAATGGAGACGATTCAAAAGTGCTTTATTGCCTGGAAAGGGCATGGGAAGAAAAACTAGCACCGTACATTTCGAGACGGCTGATGCACTCTTTGCCTTATACATTCTGTGTCAACGATATGCTCCCTTTCGATCAGCTCAAACGCAAGGCTAGATGCCCCTTGACGCGTTAGCGCGCCTTTCAATTTTGGATCGCTTCGCAATGCCCACCGCTGCGGATGCATAGTTGCTACGAGGCTTATTATAAACGTTTTACCTTACTCAGATAATAAGCTTTGCCAAGCTGCCACAACATAATCTCAGATAATTGCTGGGGGAAGGCGGTCTGCAAACTCGCGCTTTTCTGCAAGCGGTCAGCAGACTTTTGGGGCGTGGCCAAACCGTCAGCGAGCGGTAATTCTGTGTTCTGCCAGCAGGCCGCAACGCAAAAGTTTCTTTCTGCAAGCGCTGTCAAATAATTTCTTTCAACGAGCGCTGGTCAAACTTTCAGCAGGCGCTCGGACTCTTCTTACTCTTGGGGCGTACACCTAGCAAAGGTGAGACTCTATCTGGCAGAGTTGTCATCGATGGTTTGGTCACCCGAGTTTGGGGTACTCTCCCTCAGCGAAAGGTACCTACTCAGATAACTCACCGGGGCAGGCGGCCATGCATTTTATGGGCGGGCGGGCACCGGAAAAATAGTCCGCTGATTTCTTGCGGTCCGCTTGCAGATATTTGGAGGAATTTAACGAAATTTTGAACGAATGCTTGGTGAACATCGCGGCTTCTTTATAGATTAGCTGCGGCGCAGTGGCCGCATTCTCGCGGACTTTCCGCGAGAATTTGCGAAATTTTCGAGGGCCGCACGGTACTTTGTGGAGGACCGCGCAGCTCCGGGTACTTTCCGCTGAGAGAAAGTACCTCAAACTTGAGTAATTAAACCAATGGTGACCCTCTAACGCACAGAGTCTTACCTGTGCTCGACGTATGCCCGAAACTGCGTAAAAAGGTCCGAGCGCCTGCAGAAAATTCTGTGTTGCTGCCCGCTGGCAGAACATTGGACAGTAAAGGAAGTACCGCTCGCTGAAGGTTTGGCCACGCCCCAAAATCCTGCTGACCGCTTGCAGAAAAGCGGGAGTTCGCAGACCGCCTGCCCCCGGCGATTATCTGAGTAAGGGCTCGGCAGTCCTCCACAAAGGATCGTTCAGCCCTTAATAATTTTGCATATTCTCGAGAGTGCGCGAGAATGCGGCCACCGCGCAAGTAATCTATAGAAAGATCGTGATTGTTCTTCGAGCATTCGACTAAAAATTGGCCGAAATTCTTTCAAATTTCTGCAAGCGGACCGCAAGAAATCAGCAGACTATTCTTCCGGTGTCCGCTTGCTCCAAATTCACATGGTCGCCTGCCCCGGCGATTATCTGAGCTGATACAATTTTTGTAAGCAACAACTCAGCATACATTGAATAACTTGTAAAATTGTAGCACATTTCTGAAGGCAATAAACTTATATCTGCATCGCAACGTGTAAATGTGGACGGTTGAATGTCATTGCGATGGTCGCTGAAATTCGTGTTCTTGTTGCACGCATCTTGACTGCTATAGTACAGCATTATGGTAGCAATTATAATCCTTGAACATGGTGATAGTTTAGAGAACAAGAGGGGCCCAAAAGCATTGGTCAGTTTGAGCTTGAATGCCTGTCGTACTTATATGCTTGTAGCCAAACATGTGTATCGCACATCTATATCGTCAGCCCTAAATTATAATGTGCGTGAAACAACAGCACAAATTTCTAGTAACGTAGTTCTACCCGACGAATCGAGTATTTCGCACATTTCACACGCTAAGGTCCATATCTACGTCATAGGTGCACTCAAAACATTATCAAGGCCATCAGCAAGGTGCTTACACTTGTCGGCTGCAGCATATTTATCTGCGAAGGTGGTTCTTTTGTCTTTTCCGGTGGTCGTTCTTTTCTTGCAACCTACAACACAAAACTCATTTTCCTTTTGGAAATCATACAACATCACTCAATACCTCGATTGGCATCTGTGAGAGAGGCCGTTGGGGTGTGGGTGCGGCTACTGCCTTTACATGTGGCTTGACAATCTAAGTATCTCTTTTCAAACTTGAAAAAATCTTCATATCTTAGATCATTTTGTGCCAATATTAGGTACTGCGTCTCACCATTTCTTCTGGCATTTCTACTGATATCTCCTCTTCCGACAGTCGTTCACCTTGGAGATCTACTTCCATCTGAAAGTAAAAAAATTCTCTATATAACTGACGATCCTAGCCTTGCAGGGCTGTAAGTCATAACTGCTTCGACAAAACACCGAAGGTACATTATTTTGAGGCATATAAGCCGCAATTTGTCAAATTTTCCCATGAGCTGCTCAGGCGCCGCATTGTGTTTCGAGAAGATCCTTATGCCGCACATTTCTTTCAAGCAAAAGGCAGCACGGTGTAAGGTCCTTTGATTGCGAAGTCTTTTGATATATTTGGGCTGGTCGATGTAAGCTAGCAAGATTTGTGTTTGCCTTTTTGATCCGCATCCTTTCCCTCTCTCAATCCCCTGTGTTTTCTTCTCCCTTCGTGCCCTCTTCCCACACTGCAGCTATATTTCACTGCGAAGCAACCGCAGTAGTCCTTTTCCTTTTTGTATATAGCAGGCTCGCTAACCTGTACGAAGTATCTGTCTTATTGATTGCCTGAGCAGAGCACATAGTTTTCAATAAAGAGCACGTCATGAATGTAAAAATGAAGTCAATTGCGGTGTGTATTGCATGCCCGCTACATTCATGAAGGCAAAGCTTACAGCCATCTTTTTGATCTCATGTCATACTCTCTCTTGCGAAATGAGAACAGCTCTGCTTTCGTTGTACTCATAGGATAATACAATTCATAAGAATTTTTTGTACGAAGAGTGTCAAAAACAGGGTCAAGCGTGGGGTGCGGCACGCCACACCTGGGGGGTCGTATTGAGGAGTCAAAAGGGGAGGGGGTCGTAGTTGGGTAATCTCATAATAGTGATAACATGATATTCGTATCCTATCCATAATTAGCATGTTAAATGACCCCTGTAGACAAAGTGTGAGCGATTCCTGAAGGTTCAAAATACTAGGCTACCTAAGTGAAATGGTCAAATTCCAACATGGTTAACTTTGTTTCAAAGGTGAATTAGTTATCCGTTTTTGCAATCAAGACAAAGCACTACTCCTTCTTTGTCCATTTCAGGAATCCTGCTTCAGAAGACCTCCAAACTGTGGAATTAGAAGCCAACCAAAATCTCGTTTTTCCCATTTTTCGCTTTTGATCGCTGTGCTTTCACCAAATATTACTTGGAGCTAAGAAGACGAATCAGGCTCAAAATAGTCCTATGGAATCTACAAGGTTTAGGCTATCGATTCATATAAATAGTGTCCGCTAAAAATGTTTTTTTGATATAGTCAATGGCCTGCGGCACCCCCCCCCCCCCCCTGCCGCCGCAGGTTTTGAGGGGGGGGGGGGGTGCTTCTAATTCCACAGTTTGGAGGTCTTCTGAAGCGGGATTCCTGAGGTGGACAAAGAAGGAGTAGTGCTTTGTCTTGAGTGCAAAAATGGATAGCTAATTCACCCTTGAAACAATGTTAAACATGTTGAAAAATGACCATTTCACTTAGGTAGTCTAGTATGTTGAATCTTCAGAATCCGCTCACACTTTATCTACAGGGGTTATTCGACCAAGCTAATTATGGATATGTTGCCCATTATGTTTGACAGGGCCTTCAAGTAATGCTATCTTAAGTGTATAGTTTAGGGGGGTCTTATTAAGACAGCAATCAGGGGGGGGGGGGTCGTAACCCTTGCTTGACCCTGGTCAAAAACCAATAAAGCAATAGAGCTTATAAGGGAATGGTCAGAAGTCGAAGTAGCGAAACCAAACAAGCTGTATATCATTCCATGCAGTGTAAGACGCTGACTTCGAATCTGCCTTCCTTGTCTGCTTATCGCTTTTCTGGACGAAGCTACAAGCAGTTTTGTGTGAAAAGGTCACACATGAAAACAGCAAAATTGAGAAACATTGTTGCACTTCTGCTCAGCTCTAGGCTTTGAGAATTTAAAGTAAGTTAGCTGCATGTTTTGGTCCAGCATTAAGCCGATTATAGTTCTGTACGGCTAAATTTTCATTTTCACGCACGATTTCTTAGCAAAATAATGGCCTTTGATAGCTTATAGCTTCGTCAGAAAAGCGATAAGCAGATAAGGAAGACAGATTTAGAGTCAGCGCTTCATGCTGTATCTAATGGGATGTAGCGTGTCTGGAATGGTCACTTCGATTTCTGACCATTCCCCTGTTAGAGGTCATCGGCCATGAATCACTTGAGAGCTTCAACTCTACCGGCTCTCACAAAGAATTTGCAGGTAGTAATTGAAGAACAAATAATATATGCACAGCAGCACACTGATAGATAAAGGAAACGTACTTATGCAGTGTTTTATTGTTTATATTCTCTTGGTCTTTTGCCAGTCTTTTGATACCACTTTCTGAAGCTGGCTTTGTCTTGAATATACACTATGGGGCAAAGAGACTGCCATTCTTTATTATTATAGGATTACGGCAGTAAATTCCAGTGCTTTGTACTAGTGTATTTGACTATCCAAAAAATAAAGGGAAAAGTTGCGTACCAGGGTTCTAACGCTTGTTGGCTCCATTACCTAGCTTTTCACAAGTCCGTAAAAGTTTCTGGACCACGTATGATTACGTGTTTGAGAAGAGTAGAGAATACGTATCACGGGCACTGGCATACCCTCGAAGACCAATTTCTTTGGTAGCGTGCGATTTTCATATTTAAAATCGGCAACTTTCTTAGTGAAGTATACGCATTTTTATGTTGTGTCTTCCCTTTCCGAAGTCGAATATGGATTGACCTAAACCCCATCAAAATTCCCATCGTTATTTTACAGCAGTGAGAAGCGAACGGTGAGGCACTGCATATTTGCTGCAAAAGGCTTCGTTTGAAAGATATTAATGATCAAATAGTGCATACACACTTTTGGGAGACCCGGTATGATTGAGTGCGCTCATATGCTGCAGGTACTCTAGCAACATGGGTGTGCACATCCGCAATCTGTCGACTGCTGAAAACCCTTTTTCACTCTATATGTTCTCCATTTTTCTTCGTTTTCAAGCTGCAACTTAGATTAATCATTACTATCATTGTTTTATGGTCTGACGTAGTCAACTTGACCACAGTGGCCCACATTTGAAAGTACAGGTGAATGAGACTGAATTTAACAAGCTGAATAAGCCTTTACGAAAATACTTGCACAAGAGTTCCTTCATACTACGCCGCAAGACGCAGCATGCGCGGCGTGCGCCGCAGGATTCGCTCTGAAAATATACGTTCACGGCAACGCCTTTTCGCTGGTTATGTATGTATGAACGTTAACTTGCAGGAAATATAGAGATACATACATAACCAGCGAAAAGGCGTTGCCGTAAACGTATATTTTTAGAGCGATTCCTGCGGCGCACCCGCGCACGCTGCGTCCTGCGGCGTAGAGGAACCCCAACATTCGCAGTCTTACAAAGCTGAAAATGGAATGTTTTTTCTTCAGAAATGATTGATAAGGGAAGGATGCCAACATGTGTTGGCGAATGAAGACTGGGTGTATATCACTAAACGCTTCTTTGAACGCTTAATTCAAATCTGCTCTCCTTTTTCGCGGAACAACTTTTCGAAAGAAGTTATCAGCATTCAAACGTTCAAATTTGTCAAACTTTCAGTAGCTTAAAATTAGCGGAAAGCTGTACAAAAACATCTAAAAGTGGAGTAATTAATTTCGCAATATGTATATTGTTTGCAAAAAAGAAACAAAGCCAGCAAGAATCTGCGTAGGTGTTTTTAGAGCTTTTCGCTAACATCTAGCCATTTAATGCTTGAAAATTTGAACCTTCAAAATTAATAACTTTTTTCGGACAGTTGTTCCGCAAAAAAGCAAATTTGAAATTGTTCAGGATGCGTCTAGTGACATACATATCGTCTTCAGTCGCCATATGTTAGCATGCTTTCATTGTAAGGGATACTATGCAATCACAGCGGTGGAAACAGTGGATCTCGTTCAGTTAATCAAGTTATTCTTTGGATAGTCCTTGAGGGAAGTGAAGTACTCAAGGAAAGAAAATAGAGGAAATCACCGTCAGTTCTTATTGCATGGTGCAGCTGCATGAGGGTAAGGGAACAAACTCCGCCAATTTGAACTTCCTTCGCGGACTAATGGTCCTGCAACGATATAGCAAAAGGACCAGTTGCCAGCGAAGGCGGGCTCAAACTGGCGGAGTTCGTTCCCTTACCCACTGCATGACAGGATGACCACGCAAAGTACTTTACATATCATAGCTGGCAACTCCCTGCTCGGAATAAAGCAAAAAGAACTGTGACATTCGCTGCGCGCTGCGTCACAATCGCACGCGTTTCATGTGAGTCATATGTGTCTGATTTCGTTCAGCACTGAAGATTGTCGGATTGCTTTTTTTCTTGGCCACTCTTCCAACATCTACGCTTCCTTAGATGTGGCTCTTGCCAAACTGAATTTTTATGGCTTTTCATCAGGAAAAAATGATAAATGGCCGAAAACTTTGTCCCTCCTTCTCCTCAAATTTTTTCTCTCAAGACGCAGAATATTGCCGCTAACTAATCATCAGGATGAAAAGAGGAATCGCAAAAGAACTACCCAAGTTTATGCATGTAGCAAAAAATTGTGTCAGAGTAGATAAACACTGCTTCACACCTTATGTTAAGGGTGATGTGCTTATGTGTTTACTTGGTTTACTTGGTTTGTATGTTTGATCATTGCCTATTCTTGTATTTCGATCTCTAACAAGGGAACGATACTTGGTGTCCGTGGCCTTTTGAGATGAAACTATACCATCACACTCGTTTTAATACGCCGACTCCAAATCTGACTTCCTTTTCTGCTAATCGTTTCTCTGAAAGAAGTTATGAAGGATTTTCGCATCAATGGTCGCCTAAGAGAAATGCGGCCGAAGATGCCTAACTTTCAAAAAGAAGCTTGATTGAGGCAATGCAAAACTGAAAAATACAAAGGGACTCTAGGCTAAGCCTACATTGCTTGCGAGGCTATCGCACTAGCCACTACGCTACATCTTAGCGGCGGTTTTGGCCTTCCAAACACTTCTCCTTTAACGAAAAAAGCCTTCATAACTTCTTTTAGAGAAACGATTAGCAGAAACGGAAGTTAGATTTTGAATCAGCGCTCCAAGATAAGTGTAATGGTATACATCTCATCTCAAAAGGCCACGGACACCAAGTATCGTTTCCATGTAAGTGTTCTAATGTTAAATCTGAAAATCCGTTCCCTTGAGTCGCCGCCTGTCTCACCTGTTCCTAGAAGCTTGTTCCTTCCTAGGTGCCTGGTAATGAGTGGTACGTTCTCACAGTCGAGTGTATATATAGCTAGTATGTATGTTATCGTTACCGTTTGATGATTTATTCATTATTCCGATTAGCTAATAAACTGCTAAGTGTTCCATTGTGTCCGGTTCTACCTAACGAAAACAAGACTACTATACCTTACAAGGAAGGTGAATTGATGACCGTGGCCTTTCAAAGAGTATACCAACACACTTGCCTTGGAACGCTGATTCCAAATTTACCTTCCTTTTCTGTTCAGCATTTCTCTGAGAAAAGTCACGAGGATTGTCGCGCTGACCGCCCAAAGGGATGCGATCGGAACGCCATGAGCGCGCTTTGGTGTAGTGATTAGTGCGGTAGTCTCTCAGTTGATTCAAATTATTTCGTGTTTTTTTTAGTTTTGTTTCATTTACATTAGGCTCCTTTTTATGCGTTCGGCATTTACTTTTCTAAAATCTAACAGAGACCTATCTTCATAAGAACGTATCCTACGCAACTCCAGAAGAGATTACAATATGAAAATGATTGCAATTTAACAGATGGTAGATGATTGCAATTTACAACGATATGGAAACGCTCGCGATGAGCGCAGTTATTGAAAAATACATAAGTAAGTTGCCCATGTCTCTATCTTCGAAAAATCGGTATGCTTTTACCTCAAAAGTGGCAAACGTATAAAAAGAAGCTTGATGAAGGTAAAACAAAACGAGAAAGCAAAAAATTTGAATCTACACTTGCAATATGTTATGGAACTCGCTCACCACTACAACACAGCGCACGCCTGGTGACGTTTCGATCGAGTTCAACTTCGGCACTTGGTACGAATCTCTCGAAACTTCCTTCAGAAAAGCGTTCAGCAAAAAACGGAAGGCAGATTTAAACTTGGTGGTTCAAGTGCAGTGGTATACATGCCTACTTCGCGAGACCACGGTCACAAAGTACCCTTTTCTTATTAGCTCCCATTTCAAATTACCTGTTCATATGTTGGTGTCTCCTTGACCACATGGTCCGTTTGCTCGTAACTATATCGTGGTTGTTGCTGCTGCTGTGGTCGAGGTTCCTCCTGCCGTGGAGGAATGCTTGATTTTGCACCCTAAGAATCTCTAATTTATGAAGAAATAAGTGTAAATCAGTTTAATCCCACCCCAGTATCTGGAAGAGGGAATTCGACATCAATCTCGTCTGACATTATAGTTAGCCAATACACGTTTCTTCAATATGCCTAGATAGGGAATTCTAAACAACTGGAATTGAAATAGTTAATCAGTAGAACGAAAGATTCAGCTAGAGGACCCAAGTAACAGTCGCCTACACTTCTTAATGAAACTTTTTTTCGCCTCCTGGCTTTTTCTACCACAGAGGTTGCGAAGAGATTTGGGCTCTGAGAGTTCGCATTGGTAATTAAAATAGACACTACTTATAATAGCATGAATTTCTGCACTTTCCGTACACGATGGCAGATGGTAGACGAGGAGATGCCCGACAAGATGCGGATCCGCCCCTTGTGCACGAGCCATGCTTCCATGTATACCGAACTTTCTCGAATTTCTTCGCGCATATTTCGCCTAAGGATAAATTCCACAAATCAGACTGTAAACATATCATCACGTGTAGCACATCAACAGTCCCAAGATAGTGTTTTCGCATAAGTCACATGTGTAACGGGGTGTGGTTTGGTGGTAAGCCCCGGTAGAACCTGATCGACGGAGAAACACGTGTTTGAGTACAAGAATTGATCCTTATGGCACAAAACTAACAACAACAAGAACAGACAGCTATATACAACAATGGGGCTCAACCCGATTTGCCCTCTCAGCAGGATTCTCTAGCTTCTTCTATCTACGGGGGGAAGTCCGCCTCTCTTTGACAGCTCTTTTAAACTCCCTGGAGCCCTTTCTTCATGCTCTGGCTGATCCTCCCTATCTACCTATATTTATACCCTACTGGGAGGTCGAATCGGCCTCTCCTTTCCCCCCAGTAATGATTGGTAGACCGGTGATCCGCGCCATCCAACACATGATTACATATGCGATTTTGAGCAACATCCATATAATAGAGGCAAATATTCGTCCTGGTCAAGGTTCAATATACTATGATCGCCATTACTATGAAAATTCTTCTTGTGCAAGGTTGTTGCCGCATCGCCTTACGTGTTCTATCTACTGAAATCTTTTGCTTGCAGGTGGTAATGATGTTTTAACATTTCCAGTTCAGTATCAGACGTAAATTCTGCCTTTGGTGTTTACGTTGGTTTATCGTTTTTTGTTTTGTTTTTCTCTGCTTATACAAATGGTGGATCGCACAGAGTAGACTGGGTCTCATAGTAGAGCAAAATTTGACGCTTTTCGGAGCATGTCTGAGCAAAACTGCGATTTTGATCGAATTTTACTTTTTCAAGTTTTAAAAGATCTAACGTCTTTCGTAAATCGAAAAGCGTTAGACTGAGTTTTGCCGTCAGAAGCGACGCCTCAGAAGAAAGGTCAGCTAGATAACTACGCACCGCAGATAATGTTCGGATATTCTGACCAAAACTGTTATCTGATGGCGTTCTTGATGAAGTTCATTTTGAAATTTTACTTTGACTTGTAAAAAGGTTAAAATTCTTGTCGTTGGGTGTCGCTGGTGCAGGCAAGCTTTTACCTCAAATTAGTCTTGGTTTCGCTTTTAAAAATGAAAGTGCTCTGGTAACTGAGTCTTGCTGGTGGAGATGAGTGTTTATCTGAAAAAGTACTCCCTGTCTTTGTAGAAAGGAAAGCGCTTGGGTAATTGGTAATTGGGTCTCGCTGGTGGAGAAGAGCGTTTACTTGAAAAATCCAAAGCTTGAGTAAATAAGTCTCGTCGGTGGAGGAAAGCGTTTACTTGGTGAATCCAACGCTTGAGTGACCGGATCTCGCTGGTGGAGATGCTTCCACTTGGGGAGATCCGACGTCGGAATAATTAGGCTGGTAGAGAAAAGCGTTACTTGCGGAAATCCAACGCTTTGGGTAATTGGGTTTCGCTGGAGGAGATGAGCCTTTACTTGGAAAAATTAAACGCTTGGATATGGGTCTCGCTGGTGGAGATGAGTCTTTACTTGAAGAAATCAAACGCTTTGGGTAAGCGGGTCTCGCTGGTGTAGAAAAGCGGTCACTTGGAGAAATCCGACGCTTGAGAAAGTGCGTCTTGCTGGTGGAGATGAGCCTTTACTTAAGGAAATCAAACGCTTTGGGTAACTTGGTCTCGCTGGTGGAAATGAGCTTCCGCATCGGAAAGCCCACGCTTGAGTGACTGGGTCTCGCGGGAGGAGATGAGCGTTCAATTGGGAAGTCTTCTTTTTTGTATAGAGAAGACTCGAGTGATTGTGTCTGGTTGGTGAAGCCAGCGCCTTCCATAAAGGATGATAACGAGTATCACTTCACTTAGTTTCGCACATGATTTACAAAATTTGATCACCGATTTGAGAGCATTTATCGAAGAAAAATTCTTGTTCAAAGGAAAGCATAAAGTATAGTGTGGACCCCGTTCAGCTTCCCATATATGGGAAGAACGTGCTCTGAACGCGATCGGGACATTTTGGTGTCTCGCGCAGGTGTCCCGATTTTGCCCCGATTTTGTCGCGCACTTTTGCCGCGACACAAAATCAGGTGTCCTGATTTTGCCGCGACACCGATTTCGCGAGTCGCCCAGGCATTCGTTGACGACACCTCGTTTTGCCCTGCGCGACCCAACCGCGAGTGTCTGAGTATGTACCTCCGCGCCGCGCACGTAGCGCATGCCTTCAGTGTACTTTTCATCCAAGTCTCCAATGGTTTTTATGCGTTTTTTTTATCTTTAGTAAATTTGTTCTTTCTGTAATCTTTTTACTTTAGGGTTAAACAACCCATGACAGCTGCTGTTGAAAGTTTTCACAAGCCTTGGAGGTCTTGAGGCGCATTTATCTCAGGAAGTTCTAGTTTTTTTCCCTTATAGAAAGATTGAGCACATTTTAGGGAGTATCTGCAAAAGTTTCGATCACGGATCTAGCATATCTCTCCGACTGAGTTTGTTTTGTATGGGAGATTCTAGTTACTTTTCAATGCGGCTTTGTAGCTTCTGCTCGTACAACTACGCTCTCAAGCTTACACTTCTCAGGTTTATTATAATTACCGAAGCAAAGCGTTTTCAGAAATTATCCTTTCTTTGTGACTTCCATGATTTTCACCCATCACTAGTAGTATCATACAATTATTCATGAGATTGCCTAGAAACTAAGTGTTAGCGAAAGTTGTGGAATCTCTTTTGCTTAGGCTTTTCTCGAAATGAGATTAGAGGGTTTCCACTTCTTAATTCTCTCCTATCTTCATGTAAAAATGTTTCTTTTGTTTATAAGTGAGATGAGAAGCGTTAACAGAGCGCGCGTTGGCGCGCGATGCTTATGCGCTGCGGAGGTACCTATGGGAAGCTGGCCGGGGTCCACACTATAACAGAGTCTCGTCGTCTCGGTGGCGGATCCAAATTTTTGCAGAAATCACTACGGGAGTGGGGACTGAATATTCGCAAAATCAATAGAAAAAATTCTGAGAGCGCTCGCAACTAGAGCATATCTGAGGCTAAAATTTTATGGTTAAAGTTACGGAGCTTTGTGGTATACAGAGGCATATGTGGAAGGGACCCAGTACTCTGGGGCGGAGTCTGCCATATTCCATTTTTCAATTTTTTCTCGGTTTCTAAACATGGAATAATATAGCAAATGTACCTATGGATAAGCGCATGTGTCTTTTACATGCAGGAGCAAGTGAGAGGTTCGCAGGATTTTCCAGGACGAAAATCCAATGTTTGGCATTAGTTGCTTGTATGTTTTGGCTCTGAACTTTGCAACAAGTAAACAACAAGTTTCGCTAATGTTCGGATGTCGTCGTGTAGAGCTTCCTTTGCTCTATCGGATGGTACCCCTCACACATTTTTTTTTTGAATTTGTCTTATGGCTTTGCTATGAAAAACGACATCATTTTCTTGACAACTTAATAACGCGAGCGCGAAAAAAAAGGCTCAAAAGTCAGGGTAGAGCATCAGTTCAGAGAATTTCTTCGGATTCCACTCCAAGGAATCAACCTTGAGTGAAAGGAGAAATTTGATGACTCGGCGAAAAAATTTTCAAGTAAAATAAGAGTATGCAGGAAGACGTCATTAAGATACAAAAACTTTTCGAGCATCTGCTTCATTCCACTTACTTACAGCGACCAGCAGGGTCGCTAATTTAGTAATAACATAAAATTGTTAACTTTGAAACTATTACGCTCATAAAAGCTCAAACACCAGTGTCATGTTTTTTACTTAGTGTTTGAAAGGTACACTTAGTTTACAAATCAAATGTAGTGTTCTTCTCCTATGGCAAACGGAGCGATCAGGCACATTGAAACAATGAAGTAAATGGCGTTCTAGCTTCATGGTGTTTTATATCCCATCTTTCGCTAATGTAATGGCATTTTATTGCACTTTCCCTCACCCCGTGGTGCGCGCTTCGAAGTGATTGAAGGCAAACTTATATATTCTACAAAAGCAAGTCATCTAAGTCTTTGAGTTACAAGAATAGATATAAAGTTTCTAGAAGCTGCTTCAAGAAGCGTATTTATTAGCTTGTCGGATAATTTCTGTTACACTTGTTTTAAAAATTTCTAGGAAATCCCAGAAGCTTTCTGAAAACCCCAAATTTGCAACACGCTTAGGACAAAGCAGGATCTACCTAACAGCATGATTTATGCCGCAAGTGCTCTAATGACCAACAAGTTTACTGCAGTTTTGTAAAAGCAGTCAAATTTTTCAGTTTTTGTCTGATCTTTTTCTCTGCACCTATTTGCGCTTTCCCTCTTCCAGAATTTTTTAGAACGTGTTTTGGCATTGTCTCTTACATAGAGGCATTCCGATGCCTTTAGCGTTTCAAAAACGAGGGGTGAAAAAAATATCAAAAAATTCGAAAACTTTCCAAAATTTTTCTTTTTACGTACATCGTATAGAAATGAATACAGAAAACATAAAAATGATTTTTTGAAATTTTTTGAAGACGTTTTCTTCGTAAGAATTCCGATGATTGCAAAGATGGCGCACACTGAGATTTGAACCGCTCACAAAAACGTGTGCAGACATGTCTGCGTTATCCCCGCATATAGCTAAACGCCACAGACTATGCCCTACCTGATTACCACATTGTCCGTTCTATCGCTCATCACCTGAGAGAACGCCAGCTCATTTACAAAAATGGAAAGAAACGGATTTTCAGCCACAAACTGGGTGTTTTGCGTACGGATCGCGGATGCGACGGTACCCCGTATAGGCCTGACCCTGCCACGCCGTGAACATGATATCTTTCCAAAGCTTCTGAGATTTTTGAGAATTAAAATGAAAAGTGTAACAGAAATTATCCGACAAGCTAATACAAAAACATGCATTAAGCTGACCAAGTTTTTGTAACTAAATTCGTTCAGAACCCATTCAGATGAGCAAAAAACTCATCAAAGCAGTATCAAGCTTTAAGTCACTGGACCCAATGGATACAATGTACTAGAGGATCTGTCAAACCAGGGTTTAGCGTTTTCTCGCAGGGGGCTTGTGGCGGCGCTCGTAAGAGGGGCCTTAAGAGGTTGCGTAAACGATACGAGCTTAGCGAAAAGTTGATGCAGTATAGAACACTCTTGACAGCATTTTAGAATACAAAGAATTTCATTTGGACTACCTCAATTTCACGAGTACAAGGCGTACCTTTTCCTTGATGCATGCAGTTCAGCCGCTTTGCTGTGCTCCAAACGATCGCCATGCCGCATATTCTCATAAATGATGTGAAGCACGGCAGGTTCTTGGGTCGCTGTTTGGGTGATTTTAGAAGAAAAACCTGCGCCTTGTACTCGTGAAATTGCGTATTTGTTCGTACGAAAAATGTCAAAGATAAAGGATGAAGAGCTCGACATCTATTATACCCTCTGCGCATGCGTCGAACGCATTCTATTTCATAGTCGAAAAAACCACTGAAAGCGTGCTAGTCTATTACAGTTGACTTGCGGGTCAGCCAATTACCCATTCAGTGCTTCTATCCTCCCGGATTACTCTGGTACCAATCTACGGTCCCCGAAGGGCAGAGGGATTGATTGATTCAAGGGCAGGATTCAATCTTGGTTCGACCTGGTCATAGCGGCGCCTCAAATCACTACGACACTTGCCCCGCCCCACTAGAATGTTAATGCATAGTAATCAAAAAATTTTTATTCTAGATGTATGACACTGCAATTAATCTTTCGCCGTCCCGAATATATCTAATGATGAGGATAGAGATTTAGTGTTAGGTTAAGAGCTTGTTTCACGTCTGCAAAAGTAAGGTCATGTAGGTCAAAACAAGTAGGAGCAATACTCGCACAGCACTTGAGTAACGCTCAAAAATATCGCTACCCAGTATCGGGGAGGGGGGGGGGGACGTTGTTTTCTCTTTGTCGATTTATCTCAGGCATACCCTCGATTCATAGAGCCACGTACTCTGGTAACCTTCACTTTGAGTGCTATGAGGGGACACAACCTTCACCTGGAAAAAAAAACAGAAGTTATCCGGGGCGAAGCCCCTGATGTTATTATCCTGACTATATCGGAACGGTTGTGAATGGAGCAATAGGGAACAATATCTTTAGCTCATCTCAGCGAAACCGAGGATTTGCGTTTTCATAGCCTTTTTTGCGTTGAAAAGAAGGTTTCTGTGGAATTTTCGCCAGAATTTAGGACGAAAGTTCTCAGTTAACCTCTAATTTGACCAAAATCGAGTTTAAGAAGTTTAGGAAAGCTATTGGAGTTAAATAAAAACGAAAAACTGCGCTTAAATCTCGCGCAAAGAACCGCGCACGATAACGCTGGTCTATCTCTTTAACGAGTGGTTTTTAAAGCTTGGGACGTTGTCACTTCTCCTCGTCGTGTCATGACGATCAGAATGATATATAATATTGCAGGGTTTCGTTGAGACCCCGCGGAGATCTATGACCAGAGCCAAATTCCCCGCCGGCTCTGGTCTGTCTTCGCTGCTCGTCTGCGTCTCCGCGCGCTGCGCGCTACCTCGCTACCCCAAATGCAGGGCGCGGGGCATTTGGCTCTGGTACCCTTTTCTTCGCTGTTTCGAAACCAATTTTAGCAAGCTATATATCATTTTGGAGCTCTTCATCTCTATTTTCACGCTGACAACGTCCCAGAACCACATTTTTTGATCTGATCGAGAAATCCGGCAAAAACCTTGTTTTCGAAAATCTCTTGTTTTTCTCCTAGTTTAACTCTTTTCACGCGGTTTTTTCGTACATTCTATGGATCTTGCTTCTGTTCATAATGCAGACAACCACCCAGCCCTTACCTCTTCGATTATGGTGGAATTTTTTGCAAAAAATCGTAAAATGGGCGTTTTTCTTAACGTTGTTCTGTTTCAGTGATTTCGCATCGATTTTTTTCCAGCTTGGGCGATTGTTGCTCAGAACAATAAGCGCAACTATCTAGACAACGTCCCAGGAAACAGGAACGTCAATGCGGGGGTAAAAATTTAAAGGACGCATCTAAATTTAAAACCCCATGTTGCGAATTGCTGATCCTGGAGCGAAAACTTGCGCTCTAAAAAGCCGCCAAATGAAAGATTGCAAACCTCATTGCAGCGTTTTTATCCGGTTTTCAGCAGTTTCTTTTGCTTTTTTTTTATCTATTTACGTCATTTTCTCTTCTCTGGTCTTCTTTAAACAACCTTCACTATTTATGATGTCAGATGTTCAAACAACCTTTACTCGAAGGTATGATCTCAGGTCCGTTACTAAATACGGTAGGTGTCAATTTTTGCGTAGAAACTGCGCATGCGCAACGCGCGGGCCTTGCATGCAGGCCTCTAATCGATGCCATTTCGAATGCTCAAGCCATACGCGCGCGAAGATATCGCGAAGCTCTGTCTTGGGAATTAGGCTCACGGAAAAGGGAGCACGTAACTGACACAGACTGTACCTAGCTCCTTAACCGCGGCACAATCATGGTTGCAACCAGGGTTGAGCGTGAGGTCAGGCGTGCCCGACCTGGGGGGGGGGATCGTTTTGGGTAAGACTGAGGGAGGGGGATCGTAATAATCGAATTCGTTCATTTGCGAAGATACTGCCATTAAGGTGAAGAAGAAAAGCGCTAGTCCATGATATGTCAAGGCAAAAGATAGTCCAGTGGATATTGCAGCCTCACCAGTACTGAAGGAATGATGGTCGTAAACAGCATACTAATTGATCCCAAAAATGATGAAGTTTCAGCCAAAATTCAGATCTTCATCTTGGCATATCATAAGGTCACCAAGAAAGCTTGCTGTGCAAAATGGGTGTCATTTCCGTAATCAGCATGTCAAATGACCTCTAGCTCTACAAACCACCACCCACTGCATTTTCTAGTGTTTCTCAACATCAGAAAGCTTGATTTTCAAATATGATGGTTTGATTTCAAATGTGAAGAAAATCATCGTTTATACTCATAACAAAGTAATGTTCTTCACAAATCTATGCTAGAAATCAGGCTTCATATCGTTTTCAAAAGTGGAATATGAAGTTCCGCCTAAATTCCAGCCGACGCTGTTTTCACCTTAAGTGTTTCAACTCCACGGCTTACCACAAGGTCGAATTAAGTCGAACCAAGCTCATACACTTACTGTGGAATCTTCGAGGATTGTGCTAGCGAGTCACATAGAACTTGGTTAGAGAAGGATCAAGCGCAATCAGGTTAGGCTGCCTGAGCTTTTGTAGCCTTGCGCCTGAATTCCTTAACTTGCCCTCACTAATCAAAAATCGCTCATTTTCTGGTACGATTACTGAGCTCAAAGCCTCTTCTTGCTACACCGTAAATTTCGAGCCAACAGAAAGTCGAGCCTACAGGTTCAAAAAACAAGAAACTTTAATGAAAGCTGTCTTCTTCACCCTATCACAATCTGAGGTCTTAGATGGCAAGCGGAGGAGTCTTAGGGACTTTCACAAGGAGGGAGGGGGGCGTTTTGAAGGACTTGTACCTGATACCTGACCTCTTGCTCACCCCTGGTTGCAACACAGGAGAAGACAAAAAAAATTCATCTAAAGGGTAGCAATATGATCTCTGTCTAATCTTTGGCTTCTACAATCAGGCATTAGCAGTAAAGCATAGTATAGCTAAAAAAGTTCTGTTTCTTTCTTCATCGAAATACCATCAACGTACCACAATACTCGTCTTGAACGTCGTTATTCGTCCTATCTGTAGTCTTCAACTTGATAGAGGAGACCGCAGCGAATTATATACAAGCTTAAGAATGAACACACCACTGTTTGCAATGTGTTTACAAAGAACTTGGTCATTGGTGAGATATCGTTTCCATCCGGGGCTTGTCAAGAAACTCAACCCATATTCTATGACTTGTTCTATTAATTATCTCTTACTTGCAAATGTAAGTGCTTAAGTGCTTAGAGGCAGTTCGCGGCAGATTAGCGCCCTGAGGAATATAGCCGTGGTGGAGTTCCCCGTCACTCCACTAACCTTCCAGTCCCATTCCGGCTGGTCGATGTTACCCCTACGCCCAGAAAATGGCCTTCGAACCGGCGCTTGCAACCCAAATCGGCAAACGCTCAGACGTTCGCTTATCCGTTCGCCGTGGGACCCCACGACCGCTTTCGCATTGTGCATGCTATACAAAGCGAAAGTTACAGGCGGCAGAAATTGTGTGGGCCTCCCAACATTCCACTGGAACTCCCGTTCCAGCTAGCTTTGGAAAATGAGTAAGCACCCCAAAGCTTTTCACCCGGTTCAAAGCTCGTATTCATGTTCTACGGGACAAAAAGGTCTGAAGCACGCAGAAAAATGGAAATGCAAGACTGCCGCGACACTGTCTTTAGAGGCAGTGTTCGGGCAAATCTGGGCACTGGGTTCTCCGCATGAAAATTGGTGATGAGGTCCTAACTAAGGCACTGCCCAAGAGGCAGCACAAATGGTTCATTCACGGCTGAAAAACCCGTTCCCGGAAACCCCTCACCAGCGCCGTGACCACAACCCGAAAACGACCTCGCTCACTTTAACACTACGTTCGCGCTGGGACCATCCCAAGTGTTACGGTCACGGCGCAGCCGCAGAGTGTTTGGGAATGGATTTTCCAGCCGTAAACGAATGATTTGCGCTGCCGCTTGGGCAATGCCTTAACTAGGACCCCCTCGAGCAGCAAAAAACCCGTATGACCAGATTTGCTTGGACACTGCCTTTAAGTGATCAAGTGCTCAAGCACAGCAGCTGATTTTTGCATGCCTTGAACTGCAGCTGCGTTTAAGAAAAAGAAATGAAAAATTCGCAGCTAGTGCCCTCCCTCTATCCGTCGTATGCCACTGTTCATGGTTTGCTTTACTCAGTTACTCCTGCACTCCACCATCCACTCGGTATTTACAGTTGGCTTTATCCATATCACCAAAATCTCATAATTGTTGTTGAGATTTATGCTAAAATTTTGCAAAGTTGTCGTGCTTATTCTGTTTTATTTGTTCATAAAGGTTTGACTATCCAAGGTTAAGGTCCTCCTCGCACAACTTCAACGAAGCAGAACACTTGCGTGCCGACAGCGAGTACAGTACATCGCGCACATATACTAATAATCATAAAAAACAGTTGAGAGCGGCGAAGTACAATATATAGCAAGGCTCGCAGTTGCCTATGCGCACTTCTGATTTCCTACCGTGGTGCCGTGGTATGTTGCGCAAAAAATATGCGGCATTTGCCACCTTTCTTACTAAACCGCTCTTTGCAGAAGAGTAAAATAGTGCATTGGATAGAGGAAAATCCCCTGTTGGGAAGTGTATTTACGTTGGAGTCACTTTATCATGCGTAGCAAGAAAACCCCAGATGAACAACTATCTTTTTCACAACAACCACGCAATGGTAGGCAATCGGTGGGTGAATGCGCGCGAGAGACTTCAAACTATCGCTGGAATATTGTTTTGATTTGATTGTTGAGCCACGTCCGAGATTGGTAACAATATTTATTAGGCTGACGTTTCGGCTATGTCGCCTTCTTCAGAGCCTGAAATGGGCGACAACAATCCATAAACTACCCGATCAAGCATCTCGTCAGCCTCACAAGCGAATTTCTAAGCTTCCTTTCGGATCTCAAGCAAGCTGCCACACGCAATACTCACCTTTTCGATCGCCGGTGGAATTCTTAAGTATAAACGAGTGCTGACTGATCGCGTGAGTAGATGATTAAACATGTCTTCACCAGATCAGAAAATCTGATCTAGATATGGTGATAGTTCGCGAGTGATAGAAAGGCACTCATCTTTGCGATTCATTTTAGGGTGTTTGAAATGAATCCAGAACGCTTCTAATGTTTTGCGAGTAGATGTTTGAGGCTCACGCGCAAGGATTTCTACATTCACTTCAAAATTCACTCCTTGATGCTCGTGCACTCTGTGGGCGCCCAGTGGAGTGGATGGGCGTGATCTTTCTTTGCCATTGAGATGTTCTTTGATGCGTACGCATAGTGGGCGCGCTGTTTCCCCGATATACTCGTCACCGCAACTTTTGCATGAGATGAGGTATACAACCCCTGTACTCATACAGTCGCCATCCTTTGCTGTGGGACATATCAGACAGTTTGGCATGGTGCAACTGCGGTCGTACATGCGATTCCGAACAAGAATGCGTTATCAATCTTGGTAGCGGGAGTGGATCAGAATGTTCTTATTCATAGGCTTTCGATACCACTTCGTTTTTTGGTTGCCATCAGTGAAACATCACTGATGGCAACCAAAAAACGAAGTGGTATCGAAAGCCTATGAATAAGAACATTCTGATCCACTCCCGCTCAGCGCAACCCCTACAAACAAAAAGAGCAGTAATCAGGAATATGTTTCGCACAGCCGCGAAGGTTTGTAGTGGTCGAGAAGAGAAGATGGAGTCGTTGGCCGTTGCACGTATGATAGCTTCATCCAACGGTTATGAAAATAAAATAATGCAATGTAGGGCCCATCAGAGAAGTAACGTAGAGGAAAGAGCATCGCCAACAGCAGAAAAGATACCATTCTGTATACCCTTTATCTCTGATGAAGTGAGCACCGCCATTCGGCGATGTCTGAGGAGAGCAGGGTTGGACAATTCAGTCTTGGTAGTAGACATGCCCCCGAACAATTTGAAACGCATTCTTGTTCGGAATCGCATGTACGACCGCAGTTGCACCATGCCAAACTGTCTGATATGTCCCACAGCAAAGGATGGCGACTGTATGAGTACAGGGGTTGTATACCTCATCTCATGCAAAAGTTGCGGTGACGAGTATATCGGGGAAACAGCGCGCCCACTATGCGTACGCATCAAAGAACATCTCAATGGCAAAGAAAGATCACGCCCATCCACTCCACTGGGCGCCCACAGAGTGCACGAGCATCAAGGAGTGAATTTTGAAGTGAATGTAGAAATCCTTGCGCGTGAGCCTCAAACATCTACTCGCAAAACATTAGAAGCGTTCTGGATTCATTTCAAACACCCTAAAATGAATCGCAAAGATGAGTGCCTTTCTATCACTCGCGAACTATCACCATATCTAGATCAGATTTTCTGATCTGGTGAAGACATGTTTAATCATCTACTCACGCGATCAGTCAGCACTCGTTTATACTTAAGAATTCCACCGGCGATCGAAAAGGTGAGTATTGCGTGTGGCAGCTTGCTTGAGATCCGAAAGGAAGCTTAGAAATTCGCTTGTGAGGCTGACGAGATGCTTGATCGGGTAGTTTATGGATTGTTGTCGCCCATTTCAGGCTCTGAAGAAGGCGACATAGCCGAAACGTCAGCCTAATAAATATTGTTACCAATCTCGGACGTGGCTCAACAATCAAATCAAAACAATATTCTTCATGCCGAGATTCAAAGAAAGTCGCACTTTTCAATTACTTCGTAATGTACCAGCCGGATATCGTCGACTTGTCAAAGAAACACTGTCGTTGAGACAAAAGATAGTATCAACTCGACAGTCAATCCACTTCCTCGAACGCTGCCTACGTTGCCGCATCGTACCGAATTTCATATTGCGGAAAAGATTACATGAACTCTGCGGCTTACCAGAGAATAGCAGTCAAGTGCAATCAATACAATTTCGTCTATTACGAATTGCCTTGCGCACTCGGAAGAATCAAATGTACGCTTGGACTAAGAAATGCATAGCGAAAGAACGATGTTGTGCCTTGTACTTAGAAAATAGCCTCTGGCAGAGAATAGTGGGTGGGTCGATATCAATCTGTAATTCTATTCGGTCTAGCATCAAGGCAACCTTGCAAAAGAAATTCGACAGCCTTCTGAGTAGGTCGCAACGCACCGCTGCAAAACAGCCCGATACAATGAACCTTTTGAATAGAAATGAGTGTGGTACTGAAAGCGAATGTCTTCAAGTTTCTACATCATCGCGAGTAACAGTGTTAGGAGGATTTGAGCTTCCTGGTAATGCGCGTTCTTTGTTAGAGTTGGGCCCGAGTTTTTCACCATCACAGTCCATCTCTACACTGGTTCTGCGCAAGTTCACCTGTGCTCTACAGGAACTTCAAGACAAACTCCGCAGAAAGGCAAACTCTGAGAGTGGAGGCGTTAATCAGCGATCAAGTGACACTTGGCTACCGATTCCATTCCCACGAACGTTCTTCAAACAGCAGGATGCGAATCCAAGCGTTGACGCGAACTTTCGTCTTTTTGCCGACGATGTTTTTAGAACATTAGCAAGGTTTCGCAAGGATAAGATGCATTCAAACATTAGTAGAGCGCAGAAAGAGGCCATAAAACAAATTCATAAAATGATAGATGCTGCCGAAATACGATTGTCAACAAGCGATAAAGGCGGCGAATTTGTGGTGATTCCTCATCTTCTAGACATTGCGTTAACAGAAAGACATCTTCAAGATGCTACACTTTATAAAATGTCCACAAAAGATGAGTTTCAAAAGCAATACCGCAAACTGAACAGAGAATGGACGAAAACAGCGAAGGCAGCAAACCTACCACCTGATATCATTAGCCGCCTTAGAAATGATTTGCCAACGTGCCCAGTACTTTATCTTCTAATCAAAACACACAAAATCCAATCCACAAGCGATCTCGCATCTGAAGACCCCGCAACGTACAAGGTTAGGCCAATAATTAGTTGTGTGGGTGGGCCTACAGATAGGATAGGATGGTATCTAAGTCATATCTTGGTACAGTTACTTGAATATATTCCTTCCCATCTAGGCAATACAAAGATGTTCCTAGACCGTCTTCACGCAACACGTATTGAT